GAAAAATGGAAGTTATCGCAAATAGAAATGAATTCCACGTTTTAACTTCCTCAAAACTTAAAAAAGAAAGCAACAAAATAAAATTTTTAAGAATTACTTTTTTTCGAAAAGATTAAAAAAAGAGAAAATAATTTTACCTTAAACGAAAAACGTAGGGTGTAATACCAACATCGAAATAAACAATTACGGAAAGTAATAAAAATTAAATATACTAATTCTCCATAAAATACCCATTATAGGCAAAATTGAAATGTAATTTTAAATTTAATAAAGTTTTCGGGGAATCCCACAAGGTATGTTTGACATAAAAATTTAAATTAATAACGTGAGTACTTAACAATTCATAAAATCAATATGAAACGTTTAAAGAACATTTAAATTCATTAAAAAATATTATCTATGTTTTTGCATTTAATCGAAGATTCGGTTATTCAAAACAAATTGCTTATTCTTTCAAGACTTTTAGACATAACTTTAAAGAATTCTTTAAACATTCTTTTGAAAAGATACAAATCTTACTTTTTATTTGATTAAAACAGAAGAATTTATTCATTTTTCGAAAAGCATAAATATGAACAAACTTGATCAGAATTTTAGCATTAGTTTATACAGTCAAACCCCCGCTATAGTGAACCTTCAAGGGTCCGAAATTTCGGTTCACTATATCCGTTTCGCAAGCAATTTGAACTAACTTCTACTACACATTTAAATAAATGATCCATAAAATAAAAATAAATGACTGAAAAATAATACGTGGAAACAAAAATGTGTTCACTTTTATTTTTTGTTACTTTTCGTGTTGCGTGCAAAAAAAAAAAGAGTAATCTTTAACTGATGAGCAATCCTCCACATCAGATATGGAAACACTCTCTTTTTCCTGAATATTCCTCTTATTAAACCCAGGCATTCGAGCACATAAAAGTAGTCTCTGCAAATTCATCTGCTTTGACTTGAAGCATTTGTCCAGTACTGGAAGATTCTTTGAAAGCTGAACCCATTCAGTAATGCTATTCAATAATGAAGCAAACAAGAAAAAATGCTACATTCCATGCTATTGATGGTTTAAAAAATCGGTATATGTATTTATTTTGAAGCATAAATTTCAAAATTAGTACGAACATGTATTATAAATGAAGAAAATGAATCAGTCGAAGACAGAAAAAGGTTCGTACTACTCAACTTCTTTTTTTTTTCTCTTTGGTTCATTATATCCACAAAAAATAACACGCGTGGTTAGCAAGGCACGGGAGAGAACATTTCTTTCACTATATCCGGGAGTTCACTATAAACCGTGTTCACTACAGCGGGGTTCAACTGTATTTTGATTTATATTTATGTTTTTATTTATTTATACTTTTATTTATTTACATTAATTAATCATGATTATTTGGATTCGGACAGTTTAACCCTCTTTGCTTTTATAATTTAATTCAGTTTTCCTACTTCTGAAAAGTTGTAAGTAACGATAACATTTTCTCTAAAAAGAATCTTAAAATTAACTTCTATTTTAATAAGTTGTATCGACATTTTTTGACGCTTTATATTTTTTTTAAGTGAATTCTGTTATGTGAAACATTTAAAAAGAATAAAGAAATTGACTTAAAAACGTAGAATCAATTCTCCGCTGAGCGCTCTAAAAGAACTTCAGTCAATAGAACCACTAAATATTCTTTCTAATTTGGTGAAAGTGAATTTGGGAAAGCGTCTTCGTTCCCTTAGAAACGGATAAAATTCATCCTTACCCTTGAGAGTGTAACAAAATGGAACAAAGAATTTTTAAAAATTGAATTCGAAGTTGGACTGCAGTGAAAGGAAGGAATATAAATTTGGAATGTTTTTGTGATTGATTCGGAATTCATCAATTCTTAAAAGAAACGAAATAAAAAAATTATTACTTTTCTTTAATTTGAAATATGAATAACTCGTTTCGATTATTTCTCATCTTTTTTTTTTCTTCTTTGAAGTAATCGTTTTGTCAATTCACGGTTACATCAGAACTTTTCATTCTACCGACATTGTTCTGTTCTATAGAATGTTCTAACAAATATTGTTTGCAATATAAAGAGAAGATTTCTGCTTCAATTTATCCCTCATTGAGAACGTTTTGAGAAATTGATTCTTTAAAATCATATTAATGAATAAAATCGATTTCTACTTTTTTATTCACTTTCAGGGTATTTGCGCACCTGTAAAGTCATGAAAAATCATGGAAAGTCATGAATTTCGGTATTGAACAAAATTTGACATAAAATGTTTCGATTTTAACTACTTTGTTTTAAAAAAAGATCATGGAAAGTCATGGATTTTGGTTGCTGAAAAATCTAACTTTTAAAATGGAATCCCCCCCCCCCATTTCATGGTGTTCCGAATACCTAAATTTGTAACAAAATCCCCACTCACATTCATATTTTATCAAAATATAAAATGTTTTTACCATGTTCTTTAAAAATTAGGTTGTTCCTTCAAAAAATGAAAGAAAAATTTTTTTTAGAGCGAACTCTTTTAACTCTTATGTGGTTTCAGAATTTGTTATTTTTTTAAATTTTTTTTTATCAATTTTATATTTTAACTGAAGCAAGCCAGTCATTTACGAATTTTTTTTTAATTCCGAAATTAGAACAGAAAGATCAGGACTATTTCTTTCCTTTCCGTTGAACAAGAAAAGTATCTCTAGAATATAATTCCGCAGAAAGAAAAAGGAAAAAATATTTGTTTTTGTATTTTTTTCAGCTATTTTATTGCTTCAACTCTTTCTTTACTCCGTTTTTTAAATTTAAAATCTATAAATATGAAGATGCAGAGTATGTTTTGTTATACCAATCGTTTCAATTAATGTTATTGTAATACTTTTTTAAACTCATTTTTTTTTTGCCGGAGATAATAGTAACTTCGTTAAGTCATGAAAAATTCTTGGAATTAATCTTGAAGAGTGATGGATTTGAAAATCTAAAGTGTAGCAGATACTCTATTTCATGAACTCACTATTTTGATCACTTTTCAACAAATTAAGGAACTCAAATGGAGAAAATACTTTCCTGACCGCTACAATTTGTTATTTTATCGTAACTTAGAATTAAGAGTCTATTAAAATTTCTTTATCGCTCATCTGAAAACATCCTAGGACAAAAAGTTTTATACATTACCTCAACAAGCAAAATTTATAGTCAAGATCGTAAGTCAATTTTTTATATTATTTTCCGAGTAGCCAGAATGAACTGTATGTTTGGAGGGTCAAAATGGGGAGAATTGATTGTCAATCAAAATTGTGACGACTTTCCGATTTCTACCAACTATTTACACGTAAAATAAAAAGAATGTAATAAATTAATGGGTACAATTTTAAAAACACGTTTTACACAGTCCATATTATGAGACGCACTCTGTGTAAAATTATAATTATTCAGGTGACTATACAGCTTTATTGTTTTGCACTTGTTAGACGATATATAAATTCTACAATTGAATAAATGATGAATGTAGAATATTTATTATATCAGGTATAATAATTAGATGAGAAGCGCTGTAGTTTATTAATAATGTTTTGCACGTGTTTATATGCAATACCATATTTATATAATTAAATGAATATAAAATAATTTATATGCATTGTTTAAACACACGCGTTTTCATTTGGGGGATTTTTTTAATACTTCTTATTTGAATTAATATATTATTTTTTATAACGTATTGCATTTTTTTAAACGTAACTAATGGATTCACGAACGTAAACAAGCATAAAAACAATAATGTATAGTACAATAAAGATTTGACTCTTGGAGTGCGAGTCTAGTAATTTGGCAACGACTGTAAGTAGAATGAAAAAAAGGAGAAAATTATTGTTTTTGCTAAATTAAGCATTGGTTGCATCACGACCAAAAATCACCCGTTTTTTTTTTTCGAAAATAAAGAGTCCTCAAAATTTTGTTTTAGATCAGAAAAGGAGAGAGTTTTTTAGAGTTATCTTCCAACGTCATGAAAACCTGATAAATTATTATTTAAGGGATGGAACTATCAAATACCAGAGATAGCCTCAAGTAAAATGCTATAAACAGGAAAGAACAAACAAGCGGTATGGATTGTAATAAATTGTTTTAATTATGAAGCCATTAAGCGAGTGTGAAATCTTTCTAAAACAAATGAGGGGAGAAACTGTTGTAAAAGTGTCGGGGTTGATGAGGAAAAGTAATGCTTTAATTTCCAAAAAGACAATTAAAAGGTGCTCAGGAAATGACCTTTTCGTCCCCACAAATGAAAACTCATCATTTTTGACGCACAACTCTCGAAGGAAGCTCAACAAGAGCCGGAAACAATAAGCCCTCTTTCACAACTTTTGCTTTTAACATCCAGTAGCTGACCGATATTTTGCAGTTCATTCTAACAAATATGTGCACATCCATTAGGGGCATTGTGGTACGCGTAACCCCAGGGGAACCGTTTAGAGGGGGTACGCGTTATATGCGAAATATGTTGCAATAAACGAAAATTTCAAAAAATGTTATTTAAAAACAAAGCTAGCCTTGAAAATTTACGATTACGTATTTTTATATTGGCTAGTTTTTGCAGAGTTAATTATGAGTCGTGTCAACAGCCAGTTATGATTTTTAACTTTTGAGCAATTTTTTTATAGCAAAAAGTACATTCATTATTTTATGAGTGGTGAAAAGGGTACACGAAAGTCATAAGTTTGGGAAACACTGCATTAGGGTGTTATCCGTTATTGTGAATTCTTCATTTCTCAAAATATCTAGATAATTTGTTCACTCGTTAAATACAGTTCCCTGTGTGGCCATATTATGAGACACACTCTAAGATTCTGTGTAAAATTATGATTATCAGGTGATATACTCTTTACAGCTGCATTGTTTACGTGTTTTTTGTACATGCGTTTTATGTGTTTTTATTTCGTTTAAAAGAATCAGTTTATCAATATAAAATTTCATTTTTAAATTTCAGTTCTAACGCATTTTGTTTGGAATAATTTAATCATTGTTTTTTTTCAGACGGGAAATGTCCTACTCCTGGTTGCAATGGATCAGGGCACGTCACCGGTCTCTACTCTCATCACAGAAGGTAAACTATACTTTAAATAACTAACCTCATGAAAAAAATTATCTTTTGGCGTAAATCACGTGAAAAAATGTAACAGCAAATTAAAACGCGAGTGAACTTCTCCAACAGTGGTCACATTGGGTGATAGAATGCAATTTTTTTTTTACCAACGGTGACATTTTTTCAATGTTCATTGACGTCGCACCAGAACTTGCACAATGGGTTATTGGCGACGGTCTGGGAAACATCCCCCGAGGATAATCCGCAGGTCACCATTTTGATCCTCTGCAGAGGGTCCTCGCTCTTCGGTAACCCTGCACTCGAGCACTTTACTGTAGAACGCCCACCCTCGGCCCCTACGCAGACTCATCCAAGTGGTCACCCACCCACACACTGAAAGCAACCAGTTGGCTACGACATTTTTTCAGTAAGATATTTATAATGGTTGCCATGTAGGTTTATTACAAATTCCCATCACTGATCAGCATTATTATGCACTGAAATACTTCCCTTTAAAAAACCTTCTCCCGAGCCATTTCTAAATGTGACCATTCTAATGAGCCCCAAATCTTTAACAGCCTCATTAAAATGACCCGGTCAGGTCGCTCACTCTTCTACACCACATCTACATCCACGATAGAGTACCTCGCAGTGGAAGTCGGCTACCAGAATCAGTACCCGATTAGCCCATTATTGGTATCATTTATATTTTTAATTTCTAAAAATACGTTTCGAAAATTCATGTTGCACAAGGCAGAAATGAAGAATAAAAAAATTGAATAACAAACAAATATTTTATGAACATTTCTGAAAGTAATATTCATCTTGTCTACAAATATGCATTTCATTGTTATGATTCTCAAAAATAACGATAATTTTTTTTCACATTAATTAATAAAATTAATCAGAAATATTGTTTTTTTACCTTTTGTTAAACTAGAACAAAAATTTAGTTTTTGATTCCTGACAACAACAAAAAAAGGTCAGTTAAGAAATATTTTATACCTACAATCATATAGCTAGGTATGTTAATTTTTTTAACGAAATATTAAGCATTTAAGAAACTATAATTTAGAAACAAACCTTTTACCGACATAAAAGTTTGTATCTGTTTTTGAACATCTTAATGTGAATTAAGTTTGTGTAAAATGGTAGTTAAAAATTATTTTTTATATCCAAACCCATTTCTGTAAATAGTAATGCATAAAGATGATATAATTTATATTCCTATTCAAGAGAAGCTTTTCATTGCACATTTTGACAAGTCTTTTAATAACATTATTTGTTATAAATTAAACAATTAAGTTTCATTATGCAAAATAAATTCATGTAAGTAGCAAAAAATTTTTCTTCACAAAATTCAATAAATAATTGTGTGAAGTAAGAATTATTTTTTATTTAAAATGCTAAAGAATATAGTGCATTTATTACATATATCCTCGAATATTGTTTGCCCGCTCTTCAAGCTTATTTTCTTTTTGGAAAATCAAAAAAAAAAGAGTTTTTTTTTTCTTTTTCTTTTTTTAAGAATATTGAGCAAGTTTCCAATTTAGCAACAAGTTCTCGATTTTAACAGATTTTTTTAAAAAAGGTTATCTATTGGGAAAAGTAAGTGATTTATCTTTTAAAAAAAATTTATTTATATTTGAATTTTAAGCCAGATGATAAAAGTGGACACTAATTAACTTATGATTTTTTTTCAGCTTATCGGGTTGCCCAAGAAAAGACAGAATAACACCCGAAAGTAAGTTTACTTTTAAAATCCTTTTAGAACAAATATTTAGTGGATTTTTACCTATCGAAAGATACATGGGGATGGAGAATATAATGGAAATATTTCTATACTAAAATATTTTTTGATCTTTTTCAAAACATATTTAAAGAATCATTTCATAAGTCACATGATTTCTCATACTTATCCATGAAGTTTAAAGCTTTTCGAAGTGACCGACAAGAAATTGTTTTTGAACACACTATGCCAAAGAATTACATTTGTAACAGTTTTTGGTTATTATAGGCAATAATTGCACAAAATTTCTTAAATATCTCAAATAGTGATGGAGATATGGAAATATTTAAAAAAAATTTTGTCTTACTCTTTTTTTTTTGCTATAACTTTGAAAATATTCAATAAAATTGAATAAAATTTTTGAGCAATTTAAAAATTACTTGAAAATTTGCGCTTTTAAAATTTTAGAGAAATTTGCTTAAAACTGAGCAAGATTTAAGTAATTATAGTTTTTTAATACTGCGCGGGAAAAATTTAAATTTATTTTTTCTTAATTTTTCAATGGATCGCATTTGGAAACTAATAAAAAGAAATTTAGTTTGAATGTCTCAAAAATTTAAAAAAATTTCTAGCAATTCTTTAAGTAGTTTTCGTGCTTAAAAGAAAGCTCAAGTGATAAGGTGATTTGCACAAATATTATTTTTTGTATTATTAAACAAGATTTATTTACTCTGTCATTGTTGGTAATATTTTTTCTTTCACATGTCTTTTGTTACAAATATTTGAAGAAAATCTCCTTATCATTTTAACTTTCTTTTAAAAAGTACAAAAGTACACTTACTTAGAAAATTACTTGAAACTTTTTAAATTTTTAAGATATTCAAATCCCACTTTTTTCATTAGTTGCCCAATACGATTCACTATAAAAATTGTGAAGAAAAAAATCATTTTTTCTTCACAATTTTTATGAAGAGAAAATTATTTTGTTATCGTGCTCAGTATAAGAGAACTATTTAAATTATTTATATATTATAAAGTTTTCAACGAATTTTTTCAAAATTTAAAGCGAAAATTTTGTGTTTAATTTTAAATTGCTCTAAAAATTTTGTTTAATTTCAAAGTTATAGCGAAAAAAACGTAAGACAAAAAAAAAATTCGTTTTTATAAAAATGTTTATATCTTCATAAGTAATTAAGCTATGTTGACGAAATTGTGAGCAATTATCGCATATAGTAACTGTAATGTATCTACCACTACAAAAATACAATTCCGAATCACTAGTATATAAGACATGTTTATTCGATTCTCGATTCGATAGCAACTCACCCCACATTGGTGACCCGGACGTGATGTGAACACGCCTACCTTGACAGAATCTCCCACTTCGATTTAAATAGCCCTACTTTGATGGATGGTCCACACTGAACAGTTGACTTGCTAGTTGTGACTGCGACATTGTACTCCTCACGCTGCTGCTTCTCAGTCTCGATCACACACAACGTAATACGTATACACTCGACTGCTAAAGGCAACACAGGAGCGACCAAGACCGTGAACTTAATACAGCTCTCACGATCAGCACTCAAAAAGAACGGTGATCTTAATGCAGCTCTCCCGGCTTCTCACGAAACGGCAAGGAATCAACTAGTGGTATCCTATTCATCGAATTCTATCACAGATAAAACTCTGGTTAGGGAGTACTGTCAATTCCCTAGTTATATAAGATTTGTTAACTCTATTCTATGTGTTGGGGTACCTTTTCATAGATGAAGGTTGACATGGTTGATAACAAATCACCCCACAGTAACCAAGGCAGCTACATCCTTTAGCACAGGGTGTTCAAAAACACCATTTTCCGTTTGCAATTTCTTGTTGGTCCCACAAACCTCTAAAGGCTTTAAACTTCATTGAATAGAAATCGCATGATCTAAGCACTTCTAAAGTTACAAAAGGTTAATATCCATCGTAGTAGAAAGTATTTCTTAAGAAAAAGTGTTTCCGTTATTTTGTCCACTCTCTGTCCATCACTTCAAAGTTATAGTTTCTTATTAAAAAGTGCATTTTACATTAAATAGCAGCAACTAAAGTATTTTAAACTATAATTAAGAACTCACAGGAAAAAAAAAGATTAATTAGCAATAACTAGAGAAATTTCTTACTAAATTTTATTTTCTTTACGATACATATTTGCTATTTGTTTGCGAAAATTACTGTTTTAACCGTTTTCCTAATTATACCGAGTTAACTCGGATACATTTATCTTCCCGAGAAAACTCGAGCGAATTTCTCAGGACATTGTTTTATCACGTTTTTACTCGGTTGGAAGCAAAAAACATAATCTAAGTTTTATTTAGAAGTTTTGCTGTTGGAACTGCACACGTGTTTTGTGATGATTTCTGTACTTAAATAGAAAGGCGTATTCCTATGTTTGAAAAGTATTACATTGTGTTGTCCCTTGTAACTATCATACAAAGACTCATATTTTTTTCATTTGCCCGAAATAACTCGGGATAGTAATTTAAATGTTTCTTTCACATAAAAAAAAACTTGTGTATTAGGTTGCGTCCTTATATTTATTAATAAATTTTAAAAAAAAATATATATATTGCCTTTTCTTAAAAAATTGATGAAGAAAGCGTTATGTCTAGGAAAAACTTTTTTCATAAGAACTGCTTAGCATTTATCGAATCTGCGTTTAATTTCTGTATTTCTCTACACTTATACATTTTTAATTTTTTTAATTAAATACCTAGCGTAACAGTTGTAATTAAAAATTGCAATATACAATTTCGCTCAAAGTGTTGTGAAGAAAGGGAAAAATATTGTATACTCTACCAGACCAAAAACATTCATTTTAATGACATTGTGTTATTTATAGGCGTTCATCAAGTAAAAATAAATCAAATCAGAACTTTTAAATGAAAGTATCACCTCATTTCGCTAGATAATATTCGCAAGATAGGTATTACTAAAGAAATTTGTATTCTTTGAATAAATCTATTAGTCTGTTCTTTTTCTCAACATTTCTTATCTTCCTTATCATTTCTCCTCTCTTATCTTATCTCCTTTTCTTAGTTTTAGCCTTACATGAGACAATATTAAAGTAAGTATCATTTATACAATCTTTATCACCAAACTTTAACAATAGAATTTTTTTAATGATAAATATACGAGAATCTTCACTTAAATAAGCAGTTTGGAACCTTTATCTAAGTTTTCTTTCATTATTTCTTGCTTTCATTTTTACCTGTCTTGCTACCTATAACACCTCGTTTTCATTAAAAATAAAAAGCGTCGTTTTACACCAACTATACTATTATTTAGCAACAAATGACGCTGTTCCGTCCCCCCCCCCAAAAAAATAGGAATAAAATTAAAAACAAATGCTATTTCGTTTTTAATTAATTGTTTTCTTAATATGCACGTAATTGCCCACGCCAATGTATTCTAGGAAGTTTTTATTTCTTTTTTAAACTGTTTTAATAAAAATATAAAAATACACATATTATATTTTTTATAAAAAAAAATTGCTTGAAAATGAATTGACTGGAATTATATAGAAAGTTGGTTCTCAGAAAACTATGTAGAAACTCGGAAAAACATTTGTCCAGTTTACATTTATAATATGTTCGTCAAAAATGCCTGATCGCTGCTGCATTCACTATCAAGTCTCTATGGATTGTGTTTTTTCTGCTTTTTTTTTTTTTATACTGGGAGGCGCTCTTCACTGCCTATACTTCCGGGTTTGATGAGTTTTGAAGCCATTTGGCTTACAACTCGCTCATTGGGTTTTGAGACTATCTTGTATGGATGGGTGATTGTGTAAAGCTAAGGGTGGTGGCGATAGTGGTAAAATTGCTCTTTCCAGACTTCCGGGTTACTGCTTCCGATATATTTTTACGCCGCAGATTGAAAAAGCGCGCGATCATATTATTGCATCATATCTTTTGCAGTATTTCACATGTACCGAGTTCTTTCTTTCAGCCTTTAAACTTCAGTATTATCATATTAATATTATAATCATTAGAATATTTTCTAATTAGGTTAACTTAAAAAGATATTTTTAAAGTTATTTTTGGCGACATTTCATTCAAATGTAGCCAAATAGGGGATAAAATACAAAACATGGCAAACCTTAAGAATTATTCACAATGAGATATTAACTTTCCAAATTTTTTTTCGGCCTTACGACCTCTGAGAATCAATACATTTCAGAAAGCTCTTATGAATGGCACAATTATGTTTAGATTTGAATCCAAATTACAATAGCAAAACTGCATACAATACTAGGCTTGTTCACACATCGCCTCGTAGTCATAACATAAGCGGAGGGATACACCGGAAATTTTCTAAATTTCTTCCGGTTTCAGAACGCTTGTTATTGTTTACATTAGATCACCCATCCATACGCGTACTTGTTAACTGATTTGTTATTTATATTTAAAAGAAGAATCGTCATTTGAAGATCTGACATTTCAAGACCTAAGAATTGTCATTTGAAAAAGAATTATTATAAAAGACCTTTTGCCTTATCAACACTTTACCAACATGATAATTTGTAAAATAAACTTAATCTCGAAGAATATGTTAATACTAACGTATGATGGTGCTCCAATAACAAACAGGAATAAACAAGTAAACTGCCAAAAAAGCCAGTTCTTTATGAATCTAGCAACCATGTCACCATGGCTAATTATGGATAGTGTTTTTAATATAAATGTAAACTACATCAATCTTTATGTCTTGACCTGCTCTACTTCCGGTTAGAAAGTATACTGCTACTTACTGCAGCCTATTCTGCGAGGTCATATTTTCAAACAGATAGTTATTTTTCTAATAAAAAAAAACAGACAAATTATATAATTTCTGAGCTCAAATCTACTGTACTTCATACATTATTATTGATATTAGGTAATTCTGGTTAGTTTGAAGTGAAAATTTCTTTTAGTTATTTACATATCGCACACCGGCAAGAAAAGTGACACAAGTAAAAAACAACCATTTTGAGGTTATGTCAATAAAAAATATGTATGAGTGTCACATTAAGTGTCACATCTCTAACATTTATGCAGCCGAGGGCAGTTTTGTGTCGAATTCAGAATAAGTTTTATAGTATTTCATTAAGTTGATTTTTCTCAAATGCTGCATTTTAATGTTATGACACTGTTCTTGACAGGGTGCGATATGTATTGTTGACATGGTTGCTAGATTTAGAAAGAACTGGCTTTTTTGGCAGTTCTGATTAGGTCTCTTTTTACTTGTTTGTTCTTGGAGCGCCATCATACGTTAGTATTAGCATATTCTTCGAGATTAAGTTTATTTTACAAATAATCATTTATGTTTAAATTTTGAAGTTGGTATAGTGTTGAGAAGGTAAGAAGTATTTTATAATGATTCTTTTTCAAATGACAACTCTTCAAATGACGATTCTTATCGATTCTTCTTTTAAACACAAACAGGCGTATACAAGATCGGGTACAAGGAATACTGCTGAAGACAGTTTCAAAACACAACGATCACGTTGTGAGTCAAATGAATTCAAAAGACAGCACAAACAGTAACCCGGAAATATGGGCAGTCAAAAGCTTGCAGCCCCCCCCCCTAGATAAAAAGACACCGTGCCTAATTATGTAAGACTAAAATAATATTTCTAGAAGAAACCTCAATTTGTTTTTTTTCTTCTTTTTTTTACAAAATATTCTCTCAGAGCCGCGATGGCTCAGAGTATAGAGCGTTCGCCTTCCAATGAGGCGAACCGGGTTCGAATCCCAGTCGATACGAATTCCGCGCATCCGGCTTGCACAAACTGCAGTGCTGACTTGAAATATCCTCAGTGGTAGACGGATCATGGGTTAGAGTCCCCTTGCCGTCAGGGTAACCGTGGGAGGTTCTCGTGGTTTTCCTCTCCATGTAACGCAAATGCGGGTTAGCTCCATCGTAAAGTCCTCCACGAAGGCAAAATTTCTCCAATACTAGATCAAGCAGTTCCCTTGTCTTCTGGATTGGGTTCAAAATGACAAGGCTACGGAGTTGATCATTAATAGTTGTAAACCCGTAAAATTGGGACGGCTGTTCAACGACGGTTCATAAAATGAAATAAAATAGTCTCTCAGAACTTTCTTTACTTGCGTGTGTCCTATAAGGCTTGATCATGCGATTTTTCATCATGATCTAGTTTGGGTGAAACCTTTGAGAGGAGTCACACGCGTATTTATCTTTAGGTGTCCAACAGATGGTTGCCATGGCAGAGGTCACATCAACACTAACAGGAATGCCCATCGAAGGTTGGTATTTGCCATCCTTTATTTTATTGGTTAAAACATTTATTTAAAAAAAATTATTATCATTTATTTATATCAAAACGAAATTTTAAAATTTTATAGCTGATTTCAAAAAAGTTATGAGCTTCAAAACTGTAAAATGAGATTAAAAGTTTCCTGAATATTGCTATTTCGAATGTCATTTATCTTTAAATGATAATTTAAAAAGGAATCTGCGCGAATGGAAAGTCATAAGAAATCGTGGAAAGTCATGAATTTCGGTATTGAACAAAATGTGTCATGAAATGTTATGATTTTAACTATTTTTAAAAGAAAAATCATGGAAAGTCCGGGATTCGAGTCGCGGAAAAATAAAATTTTTAAGATGGAATTTGCCGCCACCCACAAAAAAATGATGCTCCGAATATCTGAATTTGTAACAAAACCCCAGGTCATTGTCATATTTTATTAAAATATGAAATGTTTTTTGTGTTCTTTAAAAATTATGGTTTTCTTTCAAAAAATGAAAGAGAAAACATTTCTAGAGCAAATTTATTCAATTCTGATGCAATTAATAGAATGATGCGACTAATGAATTTCACATTTCAGTAATCACTTTTTTAAACGCCCAATTCACAACAATTCTATCGCAATTTTTTTCTATGTGTATTTTTTAGCATTTATTTTTTATCCAATAATTTTTTTTTCTCATCTACCCATAAAATATATAAATATTAAAACAAAAATAAAATTTAAGGAAATGTAGCTAAAGATTGATCATAAAACCATGTGTATTTACCACGAAATCACACGAATTGGTCTCGGGTATATCTTTAAATGTACTTCGAGAACCAAACGCTGTATTGCAATATTAAAACCATTCTTCTTCTTTTTTTTTTAAAGCCGAAAATCAATAGTGATAACTGCCTGAAAACAGACTGAGAAACAATTATCGGATCAAACAGTAAAGACTTAGTTACAAAATTTGAATCTTTCGTAGCAGGGTTAAAAAATCAGGAATATTAACAACAATAACTTTAAAAAAATATATCAAAACACCACATTGATTTAGTATAATTGAGTAAAACGTATTTACTTAAATGTGCGATTCAAATTTCTCGTTTCTTAATAATATGAGATGAAAATATCAAAAAATCACGGGGATATAAGTATAACTGCCAAAAAAGTCAACTGTGAAATTGCCACATCAAGAAGTCACTAAACATGGATTGCGACTTAAGACCGATGTCTTAAAGTAAAAACAAGCTTTATTTGAATTTTTTTTAAATTAAAAATGACAGATTAATTGGTCTAAACATAATAATAAAACTGTAATAAGATATTTTGCATACATGCATTAAAAAAAAAAGAAATGTTCACTTAAATAAAACATTTTTGAAGAATTTGTTGAAAAAAAAGCGTGCTTTTGAAACATTGTTAGATTTTCTTTTATTTATTTTGCTTAAAATAATAAAGTTGCATTGACTAAAGGTCAAATTGCCTTAATACTATATGTAAAAATAAATGTAAGTTTTTATTTATTTATTAATATTTATTTTCTTGAAAATAAAATTGACTAAAGATTTGTTGGTTTAAAAATAATACTATCTAACAAATTATCAAACGAACAATTATTAAAAGAATTTTAAGGAAAAAAAATACTACATTTAATAGCACAATTGTTAAATTATTGAACTTTACTTATTTTCGATATAAGTAAGTAACAATGAAAACTTATGCTATTATTCCTCATACATTCAAAACCTTTTTTAGTTTTCCTTTTGTACTAATAGAAAAAAAATTTTGAAAACTTTTTTGAATTATTTTGATTACTTTAAAATGCGAAATAATTTGATAAACAATTTAAATGCTTTTATAAGTGCGTTTCAAGAGAGTGTTCAGTGTAATCGTGTTTTTCTTCCAGTTTGTCGGGATGTCCTATAGCAGCAATGGAGAAAATGGTTCAAAAGGAACAGAGGGCCACGCCAAAACCTTCACCTCCTCTTGGTCAAAGTAAGTCTTTTTCATTAAAATATTTCAATCAGCTCATTTTTAAAGTTTTTGAAAGTTATTTTTTCATTAATACGAGTTGCAAATAGAATAGGCGTTTAATGGCCATTCTTCACAATTTTCCTCATTCCGTTATGATTGTGACTGCAGTCCATATTATGAGAACGTTAAAATTATAAATATACAGTTTTATTGTCTCGGATGACATTTGTTTACGCTCCTCTATCAATATGGGTTAACATTGCAATGGACATACGTTAAAAGTAAATACAAATAGCTATTACACGTATGTTTAAATATAAAAGTATTGCACATAAACTCGTGCAAATCATGTCAACACTTTTGATCTGATTATTATACTATACTAATATAATTCTTGATATAATAAATATTATCAATTGTCTCATTGATACGCTAACGTAAACAAGAGCAGTCGCATGAAAACAATAAAGAGTGATAATTTTGCATTGAATCTTCCCCATTCGTACTGAAATGCCGGAAACCTTAATAAAGGAGGAGATGCCCATTCTATTGACAGTCTTTATTCAATTTTTGTAAAATAGAAGATATCTTTTGTAGTTCCTTCTGGACCATCCTCTCCAGATTGTGTGATGAGGACATTGTGCTACGTGAAGCAGACCGACATGCCAGACTACAGGTATCCCATGTACGGACAACCCGTTAAATCACCCATGGAGAAGTACGGACGATCACAGACTCCAGACTTCAACTCTTACGACAGGTTCTACGGACGACCTATGCCAAAAATTAAATCTGAATCACCAGATGGACAGAACATGCTTAACAAACAAAAGTAAGTGCCCACAATTTCCCCTCTTCCAAACGAATTTTCCTGTTACGCGTATAAACTGTAATAATTTTGGTAGGATTTGAAATCCATATATATAACCGTCGTTGAACAGCCGAACCGACTAATGGGCTCCGTAGCCTTGTAATTTTGGACCCCATCCAGAAGACAAAGCAAGTCCTGGATCAAGTATTTGCTTTCGTGGATGACTTTTTGATGGAGCTAACCCGCATTTGCGTTACAAGGAGGGAATCCACGAAAACTTCCCACGGTTAGCCTGACGACAAGGGGACTCTCATCCATGATCCGTCTACCACTGAAGATATTTCACGTCAGCACTATGTTTGGTGCAAGCCGGATGCGGGATCATATCGACCAGCCATCGCTGGGATTCGAACCCGGTTCACCTCATTGGAAGGCGGAAGCTCTATCCGAGCCACTACGGCTCTTGGATTCTTCATTGAAAAATATATTGATGTAATTTAAAAATTATGAATTTAGGCTAAAAAAAATGCGGTAAATTCGAATTGTGCATTTGAGTATTTACTTTTTAAGGCAATAATTCTATCGAATTTTTTGGCAGTTATTGATTTCTACATAGTTTCTAAATCCGATAATCTCGAAACGAAACACGCATTTGAGGAGTGGTCTATCTTTTTTTTCGGCAATTACTACTACAGATTTCATGATTTTCAATTGTGATAAATATTTACAAAATACGAAGAAGGATATAATTTGCGCATGCCCCCCCCCCCAACAAATTGCGAGAATATCACCCATGATATTAGAATAAAAAAATATGTAATATGTTCAATTAACAAAATTACATAGTTTTTTTTTTAAAAAAAACGCAGCGCTTTTGTTATTTTAAAATAGTATGTCTGTTAATAAAAGTATATGGCAGAAGGACATTGTCGGAGATAGCTTGAATAAATTCTGCCGATAGGGTGAACAGCGCTATGATTTGCAAAAAAGTCACCCAACTGAATGGTTTTGTGTTGTTTTTCCAGTGTTCCAAATTTATGTGGACAGAGGAATTCCGTTGTGGTGTCATCCAAACAAATGTACTCTCCACCTTCGACGGGGGAAACGGAACAAACGGAACCCGTCGATTTCTCAACGGGTCACGACGACCGGGTGAGGCCGGATTTACCTCACATGTTACCGAATGCAACCCCTTCACCATCACCTCGATCTCCGGGAAGATTGCCCCCCCTGGATGCTTCCCCTCATCTGCCTCACCCACCCTATTCACAAAGTCCTCTTGGACCCCCAGGACACCATCTCATGCCCTCACCACCCGAATATGTACCCGAAAAGTGAGTACATTTTAATTCATCGCAGCTTTTTATCGTGCAATCTTTAATCTCTTAACAAAGTCTTGTGAACAAAATTAGAATGAACGAACAAATTATGAATGAAGGGTGTGTTTGTTGCAGGTGCATCCAACCAAAAATGAAAAGCAGAGGAAGAGAAGGACGGGAACTGATTCATTGTCCCACCCCAGGCTGTGATGGAATGGGGCATGTATCCGGTAACTACGCAACACACCGAAGGTAAACAATCATCCCTCATTTACCTGATGAGAAACCTTCATTAAATGAAGTTGTAATGAGATACTAAGAACAAAAGATTAGTCACCCTTGGAGAAATCATTAAAAAAACGTTTAATATCGTGTAACATCACCTCTGGATTTGAAAACCACCCGGATTAGATTAGGAAGTGAGTCCACAAGGTTTTGCAGGTATGTCGAATCTAGCCACTTGCTGCACAGATCCACCAAATTGCGAGGATGCTGATTTCGACGTCTTACCCGATGTTCCAACATGTCCCACAAATTTGCAATGGGGTTCAAATCAGGTAATTTAGAGTCTGAGAGTTCATAAAACCAGTCACATATTCTTACAGCCCGATGAACTTTGCTGCAGTCATCTTGAAAAATAGGGGTATCGACAGCATACTCTTCATGAAGATGTTTACTGAAAGGCAACACCTGATCATTCAGAGTGTTCAAATAAACATGTTGGTTCATTTTAGCGGCCCCCTCAGGGAGGAGGCCCAATCCATAAGAAAAATGCCTCCAAAACATGACAGACAAACCTCCGTCTTGAACCTAACCTCGCACACAGTCAGGATGAAATGCTTCATCTGGTCTTCCATGCACTCGATAACGTGCGTCATTTGAATAAAGGCCTTACGTGATTCGCCAGACCCTATTACATTCCGCCAATCAGCAACTGTCCACAATCAGCTAGCCCACTGAAGTTTGGCAGGCAATTGTGTGAGCAATGGTCTCTTACGAGGTGTTCGTATCCAAATGTTCTTCGCATGCAGCTCCCGTCGCAACGTTTTCTCCCTAACAGGTTTGGATGGACCTTCATTCGCTAACTGAAGTAATTTTGATTAGCAAGTCGTAAAACACGTCTTCGGTCCCTTTCACGCAGGATCTTTTTCCAGCTACAATTCTGATGTCGTCCTTCGTGACAACGTGTTGCACCACTGCTTGTTGACACAGTCCGCATCGAAACACCAACCAATCCAGCAACTTCATTCACCGTATGACCAAACACAATTGCCTCTCTGTCCCATCCTTACCCACATTTACACACAATTTCCTCTTAAAACCATTGATGGCTATTTGCCTTTGATCAGGTTGTCATTTGACTCATCTAAGGAAACCTATCAATTCATTGATGCTTTCGCACTAGGGTGACTAATTTTTTGTCCGGTGAACTTATTTGCAAGTAATGTATGAATTAAAAAGGTTTTAAGAAAGACATGGAAAAACGCCACTTAGATTGACTAGGAGCTGAAACATTGGAAAACCGTTTTTTCTCTTACAATACAAAATTTCCGACATTTTCCAAAAAATTAAAATTGTTCTGTAACGTATTTCTCAACAACAATACAGACAAATGCGGTAATAAACAAAAACAATTTATTAAAACATAACGAAAATAAAAAAAACACACAAATTTTCATTCGTGACTCTATAGAAGAGAGGACCTTACTCACTTAAAAAAATCACCGACTGACTGCCTAATACACATGCGCAGTTTGTTTCTGTTCAGTTGTGGTTAGGGAGATATTACAGACTCCTCCCTTCCCAAAATCTTTTTCAGACAAAGAAATGAAAAAGTTAAATTTTTAAGAAATTTAAAGTATCAAATAATTAATATCATACTTGTATATTAAAAACACAGCATACAAATACAAATATTCAAACATCATTTTTATAGATTTTCAAATGGACACATAATAAAGAAAAAATTAATCATTATTTTTACAGAATAACGAGATAAAAGAAATTATAGCACATAAAATAAAACACCAATGAATAATTTTTAAATGTTAAAATTATTGTGATTTTAACCTTCACTTTTATGCAAAATAATTAGCAATCATTATCATTTTTTTTAATCCAAAGGAGCTCTACTTAAACTATCTGCGTTATTATTCAATTTCCCAGCTTTATGAATAATTTTAAAATCATAAGTTTGAAGGAATAAGGACCAACGCACTAAGCGCGGATTGGCACTCACATTTTTATTTAACCAAGTTAAAGGATCAGTTTGAATAGGGAAAGATCGTCCATCAATATAATAATGCAATTTTTTTACAGCAAAAATAATGCACGCACACTCTTTTTCTGTTGTTTTTTAATGGGAGAAAACTTTTTACTTAAGAATACTATAGAATGTTCATTCCTCTTTTTATCATATTGTGTCAAAATACCTAAGTCGCTAGCATCAGTTGGAATTCCTTATCAAAGTTTGGAGCATAAAGAATGAGAGTTTTCTTTTAAGTTCCTGAAAAGCATTTTCTCTATTCCATTGAATGAGTCCTTTTCGAACCCTTTAAAGTTTCTGTCAGAGGAGCAACGATTGATGAAAACATGGGTATATATTGTCCCAGATAATCCTAAAAAGGCTCAGACTTCTGTTTTAGTGGTTGGTTTAGGAAACTCATTAATAGCCTTTATTTTCACCTCTCCAGGCGAAAATTTTCCGTTTCCTACAATATGGCCAAGATATTTTACTTCACTTTGAGCAAACTGACACTTTATTGGTTTAATTGTTAAATCGGCTCTTTGAATTCGGAGAAAAACTTCCATGATGTGCTCTAAATGTTCCTCCCAACAAGCAGAAAAAACTGCTACATCATCAAGATATGGAACAGCATATTTTTCGCAGCCTCTCAACAATTGTGCTGAAAGAGAATGGAGCATTTTTGAGTCCAAATGGCATTTTAAGAGGTCTAAAAGTCCCAAAACTAGTACTGAAGGCTGTTAACCTCTGAGCATTCGGCGTCAATGGGATTTGCCAATAACATCTGGTTAAATCTACTAGAGTAATGTATTTTGCTGAGCACACCCTTTCAATTGATTCCTCAGTATTAGGTAAAGGATAAAATTGTGTTCTGGTCACTGCATTTAACTTGCGATAGTCCACACACAGATTTCAACGACTATCATAGGTGTAGTGTAGTCTGATTCACCGATTTCAATAATTCCACACTTTAGCATTTCATCGATTTCAGTCTTCAATATATCCGTTTGTCTAAGAGACATTTTATAAGGTTTACAAAGGATAGGGGTATCAGAAGTCAGTTTAATATCAGGTTCAATCAAAGTGATTTTTCCTGGTATGTTTGAAAAGTTCTTAGCAAATTCGTTTAACAATTGTTGCAGTTGATCAATTTGCTGTGAAGTCAATCTTCCTTGGAGACTACTGTTGCATACAATGTCGTTAAAATTATAAACGTTGGGACTTGGTTCAATATGGGGAAAGTCTATATCACTATCCACTTCACTTTCTTCAGTTTTCATAGATACTAAGTTGACATATTCACTTCGTTTATAATAAGGCTTCATATTAATATGGTAAACTTGGAATCCGTCCTTTCTCCCTGATAAGTTTATGACGTAATTTGTTTCAGATATTTCCTTTTTTACAGTTCCAGGTCCTAGCCACTGAAAAGATAATTTATTTGGTCTTGACGTTGCTAAAACTAAAACCAAATCTCCTTCGAGAAACTCACGCTTGATAGCATTTTTGTCACACCATAATTTTCTTTTTATCTGTACTTCTTCCATTTTCTCTATAGCTAGTTCTTAACATTTTTTCAAGCGATTAATTAACTGAAAAACATAATCTGTAACTGGGTTGGATTCTATGTCTAATCTTGTCCATTTTTCATAAAGCAAAGTTTCTTGTGTTCAGAGTTTCTTTCCATGCACTAATTCTGCGGGTGAGAATCCGGTGTTTTCGTGAGTCACTGTTCAAAGGGCGAAGAGTGCTGAAGGTAGATATTTTTCCCAATTATTTCCTGCTTCCAAGCATAAAACTCTCAAAATGCGTTTTATTGTTCTGTGAAATCTCTCGACAGGATTGGATTGCGGATGATGTACAAAACTATGGCATACCTTTATTCCGAAACGATCAAAGAAATTCGCTGGTTAAATTGCTAACAAAAGATGTCCCCTTGATCACATTGGATTTCAACAGTAAAGCCTGTTCTACTGAAAATATTAAGTAATGCATCTGTTACTGATATGGAAGTTAAATCAGTAACTGGTATCGCATCAGGATATTTAGAAGATCTAAGGATCATGGAAGTGATGATGTAACGTTTCCCAGTTGGTGTGATAGGAAGTGGACCACAAGCGTCTATATTCAATTTAGAAAATACTTCCTGAATTATAGGCACAAGCTTTAAAGGAGCTTTCTTTTTCTCATTCGGTTTGCCAGCCTTTTGACAACTGTCACAAGATCTCACATAATCTTCAATATCTTTATAACATTTAGGCCAAAAGAAGCGACGGTTAAGCCTATCCTTCATTTTTGTGACTCCCAGATGACCAGAAGTATCTTCGTGGCATAAAGTCATAATTTTAGCTCTGAACTTTTTTGGTATCACTATAAATTCCTTTATTTTCCCATTATGATCTTCTTGAATTTTCATTAATAGCTTATTTTTGATGGAAAACTATTTATTCCGATCATCAACTTTGATTGGCAATTTCGAAGAGAGGTTGCAAATCCGGGTCTTCTACCTGTAAATTGGCAAGCTGATCTGTATTTATCTCTAGCAGTGAATCTCCACTTTCATCAGGAGGAGGAAATCATTCTCGATCATTGATTCAGAAGTAGATTCGAAGTTTTCAGCATATTCAACTTTTTCTGGCTCCATTGCAGACGTAGTATCTTTAAAAGTTCCTTTTTCTGTGTCGGATTATTTCTTTTTGACAACTGTTCTCTCTCCTCTGCTTTCGTAATGTTTGCGCTCTTGTTTCAACAGCATTTATTGCAAAGGGTGCAGAAATTTCTTTCAATTGGGAATCAGAAAGTAAAGAAGCAGTACAATTTACCATAATATAGCGTCCTTTATCAAGTTCATGTCGAACAACAGCGGCCTTTGTTATTAGGTCTCCACTTTGAAGAGATATTGTAACAGGAGGTAAACACACGGGGCCTTCATCAAGAGGTTGTTGAACCCAAATTGTCTCACCAGTAAACATCTTTGGAGTTCTATATTTTCTACATACGACATCGATACTAGCACCAGTATCTCTTAAAATAGGCATCAGGTGGCCATTCACTTTTTTCCAACAACAGTATATAGAGCTAAAAATTTATCTTCCTCTAATCCTTCCACTATTCTATTAATATTAGCAGTACCTTTAGGATTCCTTAGTTTTGGGCATTAAGGACGAAGATGGTTGCTGGAGCCACATTCATAGCATTTCGGAGTCCTTCATTGATCAAATGTTCTATCAAGGCCTACTTCCCTACGATCATTAATATGGTTGCTATCCTTGTTTCTTCTTCTCTTCTATCATACGCATTATCTTTCCTAAAGTTCAGACCCAACTCTATCAGTTCTATAATTATCATATTTCGTAAAATTCCTGCGATATGCTGGCGGACACTTTTCGCTTTGTAGGAATACTTCTAAGGTCCTTTGATTTGATCGTTTTTCTTACGTCATCAAGTTCTTCTAACTTTCCAGCAAGTTCTACTGGTGATGTAATGTTACTCCATTCATCCAAATAGTTCTCTTTAAATTCTTGAGGAGCTCGTTTCTTCATCTGGTCAGTTATAATCAAATCTTTTCAAAGGTATCTACTTTTAATCCCGTTATCCAACCATCAAAATAATTAGAAAGTTCATGATAGAAGTCTGGCCAAGTTCCTTCAATTGATGCTTCATGAAAAGTTGACGAAATTTTTCAGGAGTAAGCTTGAACCTCTTCAGTAGAAGTCCTTTAACGTGTTCATAATCATCAGGTTCACGGGCAATAATTTGTGTTATTTCATAAGGAAGTAAACCCAACAAATGTGTTATCCACAACTCTTTTCCTATTTCCGCCCTCCGTGCTTGTCGCTCCAATAACCCAAATACAAACTAATATCTTCTTTAATGTCATATTTATGAGTTAACGAGCGTACATCTTTTGAACTTCGAGAACCTTCTACTTGAGGAGTACCAGCCATCTTTAATTTAACTTCAAATTTCATTCACTCCAACTCAAATTCTCTCTCTTCTTTTCGCCGCACTGCCTCGGCTTCAGCTGCTTCTTTTAATCTTAATGCTTCAGCTTCTTCCTTACGTCGCAATGCTTCTGCTTCCTCCTTCAACTGAATCTTCTTCTCCTCTTCCTTTCTTCAATAATTGTAAAAAATAATTCTTTAGCGAATTTCTCTTCATACTGTTATATCTTCTGTTATGGCTTTTTTCAGTGAGATTATTGTCATATTTGGATTAACATCGATCTCTAACTCTGATGCTAACGCTAGAAAATCTTCCTTTAATCCCTTGCCCAAGAATGCCATGGTTAAGATTAGATAACAAATCAAAAATTTCAACTAATGAATTAAATGTGAACAAAAATTTTATGTTAAATGTGTAGATATTCTACCAAAGAAAAAATTAAATCCTTGTTAATTCAACGTAAATAAATATATTTACCTCAATTAAGTACTTAGCTAAACAATAAAATAATCATAAAATTGAAACAAAATTATAAATTTTATGACACTGTAATTTTATATTTAATAGGTTATTTAATAACAATGATGAGAACCAAACTCAAAACAATAAGAAAAATATTATTCATCCGAAACAAAATTTTCATGAATAAATCCAATTATAATGTATCTCATAAAAATATAAATCGTCATTCAAAACCTTAATTAAGCTAAAAGAAATGCTAAACATGCAAATCAAAACAAAATGCTTCGACTCTTGACATTCGTAAACTCAAATACAAATTTTCTAATATATAATGGGAAACAAAATCTAAAGAGAAAATACATTTATAAAAGGATTCAATAACAGCTCTTTTAAAAGCAATAATAATACATCAAAGCAAGAAAGAAAAGAAAAAAAAGTATTCGATTTGCATCAAAACCGCAATGATAAGTAAGCTAATTTCCCCCCTACTTCCTGTTCAAAACAGAAATGTTTCTCATGCTTCGTTATTATTTTTCACAATGATTTTACTTATCGAAATCATTAATTTAATACACTCAATACTTAGAAAACTATATAAATAACTAGTTGCATTTTTCAGAGAGAAAAAGAGAATAAATATTTGCACTTTTCTAAAAGAAAGACAAATAACTTTCTTCAATATTATTATCAAAGAAAAAAAGATTAGATATACAAAGTAATTTTTTTACACTGTATCTAAATAGTTTTCGACACTTCTATATATACTAGAACTAAATGAAAAATCAGTATACCTACTGTTCTCTTCGCATAAAAAATTTGTTCGAACACTTAAAACAGTAACTGGTTAGTACACAAAAACAAAACTACGAATTTTACGATCAGGATTATCACTTTTAATATCAGGACGATATGTTTTCACTTTTTATATTTCGACGATTTTCACTTTTCATATCTGGGCGATATAATATCGAGATAATATTGGTATATGTTAACCATGAGATTATTTCAAATATAATAAGGAATGGTACTTCTTTTACAAATCGAAACACTTGTATTCGGGATGAATATTGCTTTGTAAACATATTGAAAAGATAATACTGGTATATGCCAACTAATAAATTATTTCAAATATAACAAGGAAGGGTACCTCTTTCACAAATTGGAACACTTGTATTCTGGATGAATACTGCTTTGTAATTAAATCGAAATCGGAGCACAAATAGCACACAAAATAGCACATTCCTTAATCTTCGGTGAAGATTTTCAATCTTAAACGATCTCAAGGATTGAGATTATCTTGTTGCCAGAATTTTTATTTATTTCCATCATCAAATAACAGCACTTATTGGATTTTTAATCACCGAACCACAACGGTTCCACGACTTTCGTATCTCGGCAGCCAATTTATTTGTCTGTAACGTATTTCTCAACAACAATACAGTCAAATGTGGTAATAAACAAAAACAATTTATTAAAACATAACAAAAATTTAAAAAAACACAAATTTTCATTCATGACTCTATAGAAGAGAGGACCTTACTCACTTAAAAAATCACTGACTGACTGCCTAATACACATGCGCAGTTCGTTCCTGTTCAGTTGTGGTTAGGGAGAGTTATTACAGTTCTCTTACTAAAAAAAGAGAACTGTACGCCACAAAGAGTACCTATCGTAGACTGTTTGTCTACGATAGGTACTCTGTCCGCCACAAAGTCTGCGGCAGTCTGGTGCTATGGAAACAAGAAGAGAGCATTTTAGGGAGGGTGGCTTCGATGAAGTGGTCTCCTTTTCTTTCGCCTTCAATGATAGCTTGTATGGGGAGTATACCAGATTGGCTGACTCAGCCACCAGTAGGAGACTTATTTAATCTGATTCAAGAACTTTTTTAAGATTCGCATGAATATTTCTTTCTTACTTAAAATAATTCTCTCGATTCAATCAGTTGTTATTTTTTAAATACAAAGGAAAAAAAGTGAACAAATTCTGACANCTCCGGTCACATTTCAAAAGGCGGTCATATCATTTCTGGCTAACTCCCCGCCAATGTCCTTTTGAGTCTGCTGACTTAGAGTGACACTTTTCTTTGAAATCAAAATTATCTGACCTGGAAGTCACTTTTTTTCAAGTATATTTCGATTTACTGGTTTATTTTTTATTTTATTTATTACGTAGTTTCTCGTAATTAACAACAAAAAAAAAACTTTTCAATTTTATTTCCATTCATGGAGAATTCCAATAGTTATGTCTCCTATATGAAAGTACTGAACTTTAATTACTTTTGTCTCTCTATTTAAACTGCTTAACGAATTTCTTGTTTTCCAGTCTCTCCGGCTGCCCGCATGCTGACCGTTCGCAGATACATGCACAGCATCAAGATTTAAAGTAAGATTTATTTTGCATATTCATACTCTACCTCAATTCCCTTTTTTTTCTTATTTCAATGATAAATACACAACTTTTAAGTTTTTCTTGTGCGTAAATCACATTTAATTTACCATCAGTTTACAATTCCGAGTTATCTCAGGCAAATGATAAAAGTTAAACATGAGTCTTTGTATATGTTCACATCTTCATCACTCGCGAACACCATTTTTTTCACTTTTTTTTTCTATGTAAATCCATATATACAATTGTACAAAACACGTCTGCAGCCCCACAGATAACAAAACTCCCGAACAAATAGTGGCAAACTTCCAATCACAGCAGATTATTATTTTTTGTTTTTGCTTCCGGCCGAATAAGAAGGTGATAAAACAAAACGTATGGACGACTATGCCCGTGTAAAATATTTGGATAAACTACTCGGGATATTTTATCGGGGATCGGAAATAATACTCGGGATAAAAAATAGTTGCACCACCCGAGTTAACTGGGGATAATCAGGGAAGAGGTTAATTTATAGAAAGAGAAGTCATTTAGTTTATTAACTAAAATTAATTTGATTATTAAAACATTTTCTTTTTTGTAGGAAGGAGGATGTGTAAAAATTGGGAAGGGAAAAATTATTGGAATTAGTGGGTGGGAAAGTAGAAATTTATTCTGTATGGTAAAAAAAAGTTTTCAAATTGTTTCTGTGCCTCAAAGTCACCACCTCGGCTGTGATAACTTCGAGGCACCTATAATATCGTCTTTAAATCCAACAAACATTATTCTAACTAAACATTCTTGATATCGAATATAGACACATTTTTTTAACTAATTCTTAACATTTTCAAAAATTTTTTTAAAATTTGTTATGGAAAATTAAAAGAAGCTTTTTCATAACCAAATTGTTTTCCCATGACTAACAAAATATTCTAAAAACGTTAATTCTTCTATCACTGAGAGCCATTGAACTTCAAAAGTTTAAAATATAGAGAAAACATGGAATAATGAAAGAAAAAGAAAATTATAAAAACAAATATGAATAAAATAATATAACAAATATAAATATGTAAATATGTAACTTAATAAATATAAATAATGAAAAATAAACTTTTTTGAAATAAAATCTGGAGAAAAAGATCTGTTCATCAGCTCACACGATTATATACACAAAAAGGAGTGCTTTCTAATATTGTATCAATATTACCGAAGCAAAATATATCAATACAATAGTGTGAGGAATATTACACATAACCCAACCGGCTGAACATTTCATTAGAGTGGACCTCTTTAAACTATGCCAAAGTTTGTGAATAATCGACGGAGTTTGTGAATAATCAACGAATGAGCAGCTTATGAACCGACAGAAAGTCTCTTTACAAAATGGGGAGAAACTATTTTTGGAAACTCAGTTAACGAGATGTGTTTCATCAAGAATTTAAGTCAGCTATTCTTGTTTGTATTTTTTCACTATATTTTAACGGAAGTTTTTATACATCGACTTACAGGATTTTTCCTACATTTGGGAAAACCAATCTGCATCGATGTGTTTATTTTCGTTTTTGTGCATCTCTTCGAGTTTTAACTGAACAGAAATGTGAGAATAATAGAGATGTCGCGTGATTTACGATTGAGAAGTTTTCAAACTCATCTTAAAATAACTCATCATCAAACCACTCCCCAAAATAAAGAGTAATCTAAAATCAATGAGTGATAAGAACCACATATGGACTGCCAATTAGGGATGATGACTGTATTTGATTTTCTTACAATTCATTTGTTACCCTTTCCATTAACAAATATCTTTTTAAACAGTAATTGCATCTTTAAAAAAAAATTACGCGAGTGTGTTTTAAGTAGTGCTTTAGTATTTCGTTTTATGTTAAAATATTTATCGAGCTTGTAGAACATTTTTAAAATTTAACTTGCACTCTGTCTAAATTTCTTAAATTTGATTTCTGGTTACCCATTAAAAAATTGACGCAGTCAACACAAACATAAAACAGAATTTTTTTTTTTAAATCATTAGGTATCGGACTTTTATGCCTTGCTGTCTCGGAAAGATATTCGTAGTAAGTGATCTGAACCTATTTATTTAATTCCGAAGCAAATTTTGGCCACTTCTATTCTACAAACTGTCATTCAAAGATATCTTCTTTAGACGATTGCCCATCTATCTCGAACTAATCTATTTTTTTCTCGTTCTTAATATCTTCTGCTGTTGGTTCACCTTTTACAAACAGATTCTTCAATAGAACGCCTCCTAATGAGGTGATCCAGGTTCGAATCCCAGCAAGCTGGTCGATGCGAATTCTACTCAGACCACAATACTGACGTCCGCAGTAGGATCATGGGAAATCAGGCTAACCATGAGCGAGTTGCTCTCCATGTAACGCAAATGCAGGTTAGTTTCATCAATAAATCCGCCAAAATGGCGAATTTCCTCCAATACTTGATCCAGATGTTCCATTTGGATTGGGTTTAAAATGACACGGCCATTGATAGTCGTGAACTCAGAATTGGGTCAGCTGTTCAACGCTAATTATATATTAAAATGAAAATCCTTATGGCATATTATACTATTAAAGTTACTTTAAAGAATAAAAGAAAATAATATATATTTTTTATTGGGAATGAGTTTGTATTTGTAATGATGTATTAAGATAGCTAAATTTCTTCTTAAATTACTTTTTTTAGACCAAACTTGTGCTACAATGAAAAACCAACTGGTCAGTGGTACAGATACCCAAATAATCAACATGATAAATCCATGTCTCCTATTCTCAGGTGAGGACACTTTTCTTTTAATAAGACATGCATCATTTATAAATTGAGTTGCAATATTTAATTAAATTTAATACAAACATTTATTTTAAAAGAATGTGAAACAACAATTGAACTTCATTTTATAGAACGACGATAAATGCAGCTGTTAGCACACAATTGCCATCTTTGCAATAGAACTAATGACAATAAAACTGTAGGGCCATCTAGGAGCATGTCTCGGCATAAATTGTGCTCATTTTGTAATTGGAATGGAATATTTATGGAAACTGTTGACCTGAGTTTAAAAAGTTCAGCTCACACTCTGACTCAACTTTTGCAGGTGCCCTACTCCGGGATGTGATGGATCTGGTCATGTGACTGGGAATTATTCTTCGCACCGCAGCCTGTCCGGTTGTCCGAGAGCTAACAAGCCAAAGAAAATGGTGAACAGGGACGAGAAAAACGATTCAGAGCCTCTCAGGTAAATATTTGATTTTTTTTTTCAATAGTATGAAACACAAATATATTCCCTAACAAAAAAGTCTATTTTATAAAAATGTACGTTTGAGCGTAAAGGTTTTAACTACATGCTTACATGTGCATTTACATTAAGTTGTCTATATGATGAAATAAGCAAAACCTGCTTTTATAAGTTGGACATCGTGTTTAAATTCTACATAAATGGGGGATATTAAATCAGCAAAACTAAATAGGAATTAATTTTTAAACCTTACTACTCGCATTGTAAATAGAATGCGTGTCTCAACACTTTACCACGGTTTTTGCCAACTCATATTCCAACTCCTTGCCGAAACGTACCGCTTAAAATGCATGATTTGCCAAGAAACGCTTGATCTATTTACAAAGAGTTATAACTAAACTCATATTTAAGGAGACCTATCAAGAGGTTGGAATAATTCATTCTAAATCTTTTGATCAACAGAAGAAATCCAGAGACCGACTATAAAAGCACTTTTATTTTAATTTGATAAAAGATGCGTTCTAAGGAAGCTTCAGAATTAAGAAACCGCTTTCCTGATTATCTCTCGGGTATTTTTGCAAATATTTATTATCCCGAGTAGACTCGGGCATAACAGAATTCGTCAGTTTTATCACGTTTCCATTAGGCAAAACAACAAATAATCTACTGTGATTGGAAGTTTGCCCATTTTTGTTATTTGTGGGACTGCTGACGTGTTTTGTACATTTGCATATACGATAGTTGATGAATTTGCATAGAAAAAAAAGAGAGTAAAAAAAAAATGGCGTTCGCGAGTGACAGTGAAAGTAATGCAGATGATTTTTCAGATGATGAAGATGTGAACCTATATACAAAGATTCATATTTAACTTTTTTCATTTGACCGAGATAATGTGGGGATAGTAAACTAACTGATGGTAACTTAAATATTTTTTACACTCAAAGAAAATTAAAATTTCAACTTAGAACGTGTGCATTATGTTTTGCTTTAGTTCCTCTTGTATTTATTAATGAAATAATAAAAAAAATATGTTCATTTTTTGTTCAAAAAAAAATTGGTAAGGGAAGCCGTTATCTATCAATTTACTTCATCAATTTAAAAGAAATATTTAGTATGCGCTTTTTTCATTTCAAAAAGTATGCTACTTACTTTTAAATCAAAATTTACATGAAGATGCGTGAAAGAAAAGAAAAAAATTTTATTGTATAAAATATAAAACTATGCGTCAAACTCATTGCATTTCATGAGACGCAAAACTCATTCATGTGTCGGAAATCTGCAACTAAGATAAAATGTTAAACCATGGCTAACTAACCATTTAGTTGACCTTAAAATAGCTTCAAAGGTAAAGAAATCTTCTGATGAATTTATTTCAAATGGTCGTTCTTTTTAACAAATACGTTTTCTGCTAATCGTAGATGCCCAATACCTGGGTGTGATGGTTCTGGACACGTCACCGGTAAATTCCAGTCGCACAGAAGGTATTCATCTGCCTAAGCATGCATTATTTTGTTGTTTAGTGTAGATTTTAACTATTTACTCTGCACTTCAGCATGATAATTGAAACCAAAATATCGCTTCAAAGCACCAATCCCCTTCTTATCTTTTTACCATGAGCATGAGCATGCGCTAATATCCCACATTCTCGCTAAAATGCGTTTTAAAGCGATCGTTCTAATAAAAATTAATTTTTAGAATTATTATTAATCGACTTATTCAATGATCAAGAATTACAGTGTGTTACACAATTATAAGACCATCCCAAAAATCACATTTTTGTGGTACACTGCATGAAATCACTAATTTTGAAATAGTGAAGCAATTTGTTATATTTTATCAAATAAAAAGAAAAGTGAAAGGCAGCAAATGGTTTTTTTTTAAAAATCTGGGTGTTTACATAGTTATAAAACCACCTATTTCTTTTTCCAAAACTGTTTGAATTTTCAAAATATTTTTGAAAGTTTTATGTTAGCTATGTGTAAAGAAAACGATATAAAGTAAATAAGAATTTAATTAATTTTCATAAGAAAAACCCCAACGGAAAAAAATTATCTCATTTAGAAGTTCGATATTTTTTTAAGACTCTGGAAAGTGAAACGGGAAATATGTTAGTTTAAAAAAAAAAAAAAAAATTGCTGCAAATAATGTTTAAACCAAAAGAGGTTGAAAAGATGTGGTAGGGGGAAGCTTTGGAAAATAGATTCAAACTTGCAGCGAAACAGAACTTGTCTACTAAAGAACCCATGAAACAGTCTGGCCGCACTTCGAATGTTATTCTTCGAAAATTAAAATAGAAAGACTATTAAATCATCATAAGGAAGAAGCGGGCAGAGATCATGGACTATGTGGAAAAATTTTAATTTTTCCGATGAAAAGAAATTCAATTTGGATGTCTCAGATAATAACTATTGGCACCCATGTTCGTGGGTTCGACGGCCGAAGACTTCCCGTGTAGGTGACACGTTAAATCTGCCCACAAAGTCATCCAAGCTCCTTATTCAGAGAAATGGTGGATCAACATTCTTTTAGTGATGTAAAAAAGTTAACTTGTGGTCTTATTATTTTGTAACATATATTTTGGGAGGAAACTTTTTAAAATTATTAACGAAATATTTGTGAAATATTATTGCGAATATTATACGAAATATTCATAATTATGTGCATGCAATTTGTTTTTAATTCATTAACATAATTTTATATTGGGAAATTTATATTACTTATAATAAAAGTCTCAAAAACCACAACTAGTCTTATAAATGTGTTTCACACTGTATTACATTTGAGTGATTACTGTTTATAGGGTATAATAACTATTGTTAGACAAACCATTTACGAGAATTCTGTATTAATCCGTATTACGTTTATTAACCTTTTTAAATCTTTTAAATAAAAATAGCGTCAGTATTTTCTTTAATCCTTTAGAGAGAAATTTTTTTAACTAGTTTTGTATTCAAATTTTTGGGGGGATTAATTTTTTTAAAAGTTTACCTTAGTGCCTAAAATTAGATTTTTAAGAACAATTTTTGGAGGGGTGGTGGAAAGGGGGATGCTATTTTCAAAATGTTAAGAAATGGATATAAACTTTAATTTCTACTTCATAAATAACAGAATTTATAAATTCTGTTATTTACAACTACTAATAAACTAAGAGAAATGAACGAACGCAATGAGATGTCGGTCTTTCATTTAAACCCTTCGCTAATCTTTACTTTCCAATGGCCCCTTCACTATTATTTTTCTGAAGTTATGAGCCGTATGAATCTGAAAATAGCTTCTAATTGACATTTAAAAATGAATAAAATGGGTGGGAATGATACTTCCCACGGCCTTATAAATGGTTAAACGAGAATGATTTAGGCTATGCAAATATTTTCAGTACCATAGCAATTTGAAGATTGAAACTATAGAATAAGTGTAGGAAAAAAAAATCAAATTTGTATTAAGAGTCGTTTTGTAAAATGAATCGTAATCGATACAATTAAGACGTTATCAGAGTTATAAGAATTAAGCTTTCCTCAAAAGCTATTTTGCATCAACATTAAACACATTGAAACCTTTTTTTTAAAAAAATAGCATGAAATCTTTACATTTAGTCTGGAATTAAAAACTCGAAGCATTTTTTTTTCTTTCAGAAACGAAATTTTAGTTCTTTTTGCCGCTTCAAACTAGATATTAGATGAACGTAGATTTTGTAAAAGTAGTTTGCCCGTTTCATAGTTAAAAATGCAAGGTTAATGTGGCTTCTTATTCCTCCAGCTGTCCGACGCCAGGCTGTGATGGAAGTGGCCACGCGAACGGTACATTCCTCACCCACCGTAGTCTTTCAGGCTGCCCCAGGGCGGCCCAGGCGGTGCGTAAGGCTAAGGCTTCCAATGATGACGACACACCTGCTGTGGCCATCAAGCAACAGTCAGGTACGTACTGTCCTTCATGAGTCAGTACTAGATTTCTTATTACAATTCTCTTACCACAAGATAACATTCAAGTGCGCCAAAATGACGTCATGTCACATTGACGCACTCTCTCGAGATGTATCGCCTGGTACGAGAATTGACCTTTCAATCTTTTCTGATCATGACTTTTAAACGAAGCAATTACGCCTTTCAACTTATTACAGAGTCGAATTCTCGGCCGTACATGGCGCCACTGGAAAACAAGAACAATTGCACCCCTCTGCCTTAACAGGCATACGAGAGAGAACTTATTACAGAAAATATCTATTTAAGTTTTCTTTTAAATTTAGAAACGGCAAAAATAATGAATTGAGTTCTTACGAAGTTTTTTTTTTTTTTTTTTTTTTTTTTTTTTTTTTTTTTTTGCGCCAAGTAAAATCTGTTCAAATAACCTTACTTCACGATGCTCGGCATAACGTCAATTGTATTTCGGTTAACTAGTTTGCTTTTCTCAATAACTAACTTTACTTACAATAATTACATAGCCTAAATCTTCTTCTCATTAAACAATAGAATGTATTTTGTGATGGTTCCATTTTGCGTGCAACAATTCGGATTCCATCGGAACAAAATTTACTGTTTTTCTTCTCCCGGAAAATACAATGTTTTGATGTTTCACAATGATGATTTGAACTTTTTTAAGACTACAGTGGACTCCCAAAATCGTGGAAAATCACACCAAAAATTGATTTTCTAGTTTTGACCATTCATTAAACGATATAAAAAAGCACATTAATTATTAAAATCGTAAGAATTTGTGAAACATTCCACACTATTAGTGTTATTTTGCTTTTTTATTACAAAAACATGTTATTGTGAGCGTTTTGTGTAGTGTTTCTCAAAACAAAAATCTTGCATCGAACAGTAAATTGAAACAGTTTCATGAGCTGTAATTTTGGTAACTATTCCACAAAACTTTTTTGACACACTCTCTAGATCAATAAAAAGAAACTTGTAGAGAAAAAATGTCGAAATAAGGTGTCACAACGTATGTTATAGTCATTTCAATGTTCCAAAACGTTCACAGAGGGACAGTTTTCATTTTTTTTTTCTTCCGAAATTTGCTTTTTTTTCTTACTCTGTATGGAAATTAGTAGAAAAATGTGTCAATTTTTCCCCTACAATTTGAAGAGAAATGTAAATAGAGTTGAAATTAACAAATAATCTTTAAATTTAAGGAAAAATTTAGCGCAAGGAGCTTATTTAAACTTCAAAATAAATCGACAATTTTTTTGAAAGAATTTAAATTTTTCGTGTTATACCATGAATAACGAATCAAATTTTTTTTTTATGTTCTCTCTCCAAATATAAACAAGTTACAGCAATGTAACATTATTTAAGAAACACTTATTAAGAGTCCACTGTAGCAAAAATTCAAATAACTCACAAATTTTGTTGAAAATGCTTTATAAGTTTGCACAGTAGTATATATTTTTTGGTACACGGCCCACGCACTTTGGAAGAAAATACTTTTTTAGTCAGGGAATAATCAGGCAAGCTCATCAGTTTTACACTTGAATGATTTGAACTTTTATGTCAAATATAATCAGTAAAATAAGTAAACAATTTTATTTATATACATTCTACTTATATCAATTATAATTTTTTGTTAACGATCACTGTGATACAATTCGTCCTAATATTCCATAATTAATTCATCTTGCATTGCATAATTCATAAATCGTGTACCAAACTGTTGTTAGCCATAATATTTGTGATGAATTCGATATCGATTTTTAAGAATGATCGGTATTATCTTTGTCTCGCGCTTTTCGATATTTATCGTTGTCGATAATTGTATATTAGATATTGCGATAGTTTTTTTTTTTTGTAAGACATAGTAACCACGATCATAATCAGGTGTTATTTAAAAAATTCCGATATTTCTTCACGTTATATCTCTCACCTTATCCAAACACATTTCACGGAAATCTGACTCACCTAAATGCAAGAATTGATTATCGATTAAAAATGCTACTTCGAGGTTTTATTTTGGTGCGACACAATAAGTTCGATCTTTCAAGGCCGAATAATTAACTGAAAAGAAAAACAAAAATTAATGATTTTACTAAATTTTATTTTAATTACGACCCAAGCACTAAAGTTATACAATAGTTAATAAAAATAAAGATTAAGCAAAGCAGAAAATAGTTTTTAACATTTAAAAATTAATTTTTGGAAGAAAAAAAACACTTCATTTTGATCATTAACTTTTGATTTAAAATAGCACAGTCCTCTAGCCAAGGTTATTCGACGCACTATTAGTTTCTGCCATCATTTTTTTCCTTTTCGTTTCGCCCTCAATTCGTCCCCTGACTCAATTTTCTTCATTATGCGTCATATACGCTAGCTTCTTCAATCTTTGTGATATTTTGCGGTCACGAGTGCCTTTACTTCAGCTTTGAATGGTCACCGGTGATCGGCACTGAGTTCGTTCGTAGCGCCACGGGAGGTCACCTGCTTTTAAATTTTTTTTTTATATTATCGTCACTTTAATGCACAAATTAATGCAATAATACACACTGAGAAAATCATTTTGGCCAGACGGGCAAGCCATGTAAAATTAGTATGGCATTCAACGTGTTAATATGGTACAAGATCGCCTTTTTTACCCACGATGAAAATGTTCCAATTAATTATTTATGCACTGCACACAAAATAAACAAATCTGCGAAACAAAAAAACACAAAGTCACAGAAACGCAACGAACGAGACTGAAACCGGTTTGCACTTGTTTACGTTCCTATATCAATGGGTAATGCAATACGTTAAAAATAATCACAAATGGGAAGTATATAAAAAATCTCCTGAAGAACAATCCATCTAAATATAAACATATTGCCTATAAACTCATGCAAAGCATGTCATTATTAAAAAGAAAACTACAGTGCGTGTTTTAATTTGGGCAGAGGCTATGAGCTATTTTTATAAATTATAATAAAAATGAATGAACGAGGAGGCGATAGAAACATAAAAATGAAGCAAAAGTTTTCGTAACAGTAAACCCTGCAGTGGTAAAAAATTTTCGCTTCACAAATTTCTGTTATGCTTTCGCGTCAATTGATTTTTGGCATAGATTCCTCTATGAAATGTAAATAAAAAGGGATTTTACAGCTTTCTCTAAAAGTGAAGGGGCTGCGAAATCAATTCAAGGTCATTCTCCCCATAAAAGGCGTTAACAAGTTTGAAATGTTCTGAAATATTTTTTGGAAATAAGGAATGTGAATCTCAAAGAAGAGTTGGTTCAACAGAAAAGTCACTACGCTATTTGGAAGTTATTTTACGAAAACATTTCCAAAATGTTCCTTGAAAAAAAATCGTCATCAAAACTGCTCGTTTCACAATCACCCAAATGATGTTTAATTATATAATTTCACGATTCAACAGCGCTTTAATGATTAAACATCTAAAGAATGAATGAAGAGCTTGTATACGCTGCCTATTGTAGCGTGTCCTGTTCTAACAAGCTTTCTGTGCTTGATTTTATGGTGAGGTGTAGGGAAGGCATGAATCAGTTGTTCCTTATCAGGTATTACATTAGTGACTATGTATGGGTGTATTTTGATCAATATGTTATTTATAGTCCTTTCCGAGAAGAAATTCACCATTTTAATTGAATTTGACAACTATTGTGCTAGATCAAGATTGTATGTCTACAAAAGCAGATTTTAACGAAACTTGAGACCCATTTTTTCAAAAATGAATTTCGTTTTCCTTAACAGAAGAGTAAGAAAAAGTAGTTCACAGCAGTCATTCTCCATAAAAGTATTGAAAAGCCGATTCCCGAGTTAACTCGGGTATGTATATATTGCAAATATTTATTATCCCGAGACAACTCGGGCATAGCAGAATGTTTTGTTTTATCACGTTTTTAATCGGCCGGAAGCAAAACAAAAAATAATCTGCTGGAAGTTTGCCATGTTTTGTTTGGGAGTTTTTCTGTTGGACTACGCACATGTTTTGTAGAATGGTTGCTGAATTTACATAGGTACAAAATAATGGCGCATCACTTTACTGGTGTTTGGAAACTGTCACTTTGTGTTTGTTTCTGAAACTATCATACAAAGACTCATATTTAACTTTTTTTCATTTGCCCAAGATAACTGGGGATAGTAAACTGATGGTACATTAAAGTACAAAAAAAAAAAAAGAAATTCAACTTAAAACTTGTGTTTTAGTTCCTTTCATCTATTAATGTTTGCATTCAAGGTAGGGTTAAGGGTTTAATTTTTCTTTTCTTGACAGTAACTGGTGTGGTGGGGGATCATTCCAGCAGCATCCAAGCCCTGGAAGACGAGATAATGGAACTCCAGGAGTACAATGCCCAGGTGGAATCGGAGATGCATCAGTTGCAAACAGATATCACCCAAATGGAGGAACCGATATCGAGAATTTTGGACCGAGTAAGTACTCATCTCAGACTCGCAGCATTTAACCCAATTTTGTCTTATCCGATAATCATGAAAAACAATTTATTGCTTGCTATTAATACACAGGGATCGATCAAGACAGGCCTCTAACAAAATATTTTGAAATTAAATTTCTGAAGCCTAACAATGAAAAGAATCTATTGAACTGCATGATTCAAGAGAAACATTCTAAAAAATTTTGAAGGCAGAAAATAGAAGATTATTTTTTTAAGATAAAGTTTACGCATCTAAATATTAAAGCAAATTCTAATACACTGGTTATCATAAATTAAGGAAAATTCATAAAAATCGCGATAACTCAAGAAATTACACATGGAATTTTATGAAACTTACCCACAATATACAACACATAGTAAGGTATTAAACAACATAAAAAGAAATTATCAGACATTAATAGTAGTATAGAAATTAGCACATGNGACTCCCAAATTTTGACTGTATTTCTTTTCCACCGGTAGCAACGTTTGCTTTGTTTTGTTTACATTACTATTTCTCTTACACGGCGAATCGACCCATGATTGCCGTTAAAAATGTCACAGGCCAAATCTAGCTGAGATGGCTCAACCTATAGCTCTTTTAAAACGGAAACTGAAATAACCAGAGAGCATCAGCTGCGGCAATCTCATACTATTAAGCTAGGCAGAAGTGAGTAGTCTTTGTCGATAGATCTATATTTTAGTATTTTGTCGAAAGCGCTTTTTTTCACGAATTTATATATTACGAATTTATTTGACGATTTTTGATTTATATCACGAATTATACTATAGCACATTTCTAATAGGTTTAACGAATTGCATGTCATTTATTTGAATTCAAATTTATTTTAATGACTTAGTATTTACTAAAAATATGTAATTTTTTTTTTAAAAAAAAGTTTTTATATGAATTTGAATTCTTAGAATTTTGTACCTAAGTTATTAGAGAGCAAAGCGATCTTGGTTTGCGAAGCAAACCATATAAGATTGCGTAGCGATTTTCGGGGATTGGCGAGCGTTAGCGAGCAGGGGGCGCAGCCCACTAGTGTATAAGATATTGTGTGAAAATAAAAACAGTTTGGTGACCACAAACAAGTTAAATCGGCGATTTTTGCTAAAAGTCACAGATTAGCTGAATTATTTTAAAGGCCTTCTATCTTAAACTTTACATATTTGTTAAGAATAGAAGCTTTTAGTTCTTGTTGACACTAATCATTTAATGAAGACTTTGCAAATATGCATTCTCGTTGCTTCAGCCGTTGGAGTAAAAATTGCACCCATTGAAATTCAGCTTTCGAATTTGATAAGTGCAATGTTTACACGAGTTTGGTTTATCACAATATAAAGAAAATTTTAAATAAAAAAAATGCCTTTTTCGAGAAAAACTGTTTCTTTCAGTATTTAAAAAAAGTAATATTGTGGCCTTTTAACTAATTTCTCAGACGGATTTCTGATTACTAAAATATAGGGGTGTCTGGGAACTAGGGTCCCAATAGTTTGTTCAAAAATTGGATTCATGCTTTTTTTTTTTTTTTTTTTTTTTTTTTTTTTTTTTTTTTTTTTNTTTTTGTATTCCACAATATCTCGAAAACTTTTTAAGCGAACAGAAAAATTAATGCATACAATTATAAAATTCGTATATTCAAAAGTCCACGCAAAATTTTTTTTTTATTAAATATTTATTTTTTTTATTATTATTTTTTAATAATAGTGGAGAAATTTTGAATTTTAAGGTGTTTTGTTTCTTTAACGCAGACTTGTAAAGACGTCCTTATTTCGAATTAGAGAAATTAAGTCCATGTAAACCATGAAATTTCAAATACTGAAAAAGTTTTTTGAAAACATAATGCAAACAAATTATTGCGGGCTTACTTCTTCAATGCGTAATCTAGAGAAAAACAGTCATAATTTGTTTCCCTTTTGATATTTTGGAGGAGGAAAAAAAAAACACCGATATAGTGTGTCTACCACTTCAAAAATACAATTCCATTTCCCTAGTATATAAGACATGTTAACTCGATTCTATGAAAGGGTACCTTTTCATAGATGAAGGTTGACATTGTCGATAACTCTCCCCACATGGGTGACCTCCGGATGTGATAGAACACCTTGACAGAAACTCCCAGTTCGGTTTGAGCACGTCTATCTTGTCAGTAACGTCCACTTCGAACTGAACACGCCTACTTCGATGGATGGTTCATATTGAACTGTTGACTTGCTACTTGTGACTGCGACATTATCCACCTCCTCGCGCTATTGCTACTCCGTCTCGATCACACACAACATATACACTAGACTGCTAAAGGCAGCACAGGAGTGACCACGGCCGTGAGCTTAATATAGCTCTCACCATCAGCACTCAAAAAGTACGGTGAACTTAATACGATCTCACGGCTTCTCCTAAAACAGCAATGAATCAGCTAGTGGTACCCGTTCATCGAATTGTATCAGAAATATAATTCTCGTGGGGGGAGTATTTCTACCACTACAACCGAATTTCATGGTTTACTTTAGATTTGCTTGAACCTTTTTAAACTTTTATGAAGGTGAAAAAGCCATTTTTCTACTGTGTCCTCTTATGAATTGTCCAGACATTTTGTGAAAGGTCCGTTTTTGTAAAATTGTGAAAAAATTACTCGTCATTTGTGAATATAAAATAAACGTTAAGTCACATTCTTTCAACCAGGGTCCCGCTTTTGTGAATGTGTGCAAATAGGGTCCTGTTATTGCAAAAAACTTTTTCAAGGAGTTTTTAAATTGTAAAGACATACAAGATTCTGCTCAACACTGTAGAATTGTAATAAAAAATAAATAAATTTTTAAAAATAAACAGCAATTGCTACTACTAAATTCGAGATGCAACATACAAATATTGGGTATTTAGCCTAGACTGCTGAACGCAGAATATTCATTTCGGACGAATAAAGGAAGAAGCGTCTGCCGACGACAAAACTTAGTTTGTTTACATTTGTCTTTCTCCCCCCCCCCCTGGGAAGGCTTTATTCGATTAACAAAACAATAATGAAGATGAACAAATTTGTGAAGGGTCCGATTAAAAAATAAATTATTTTGTGAAGGGTCCGTTTTTATGAAGAGATATTTTGGGACGGATTCTAAACAGATTCCTGATTACAGAAAAGTGCTCTTTTTTGTCCACACTATAGAAGAAGAATGTATTATTTTTCAGGAGAGTCTCCATTCCACTTCTCAGAAGACAAATCAACTGACCGAATACTACGCATCCCTTCGGAACAATTTCATCAACCTCCTGGACCACGTCCGGTTGCCCAACTTAGACGAGAAACCTATCCCGGACAATTTCGACACCTACTTGAACAGACTTCAGTCTCTCTGTGCGGACAACTCTAAAGATGAAGGATCATCATCCAAACAATCTTCTCTGCAAGAATTCAATTCTGCACCCATGTGAGTCTTTCTTTCTTTGCTCATTACTAGATCTCTCTTTAAAAATACGCTGAACAAATTGATAAAATTACTAACATCTTAAATATCACTTGTATCAGAAAAATCCAACTATCACAAAAGATGATTGCATTTCATAATGTCTTTAAAAAAAAAACTAAACTCAGTGGAGCGACAGCCCATCAAGGGCCTACTGTGCCCATCTCAGTTTTCTTGACCTTTGGACTCTGGGAGCAGATGTTCCGCTTTAGGTGGTTAGCCCAACGCAGAACCCCCAGTGTTTAGCATACTTGGTACTCATTTTCTCGATTCACTGTAGGAGTCGACTTATGGTGTCAAAAAAATCAGAATCCCAAGTTAAATTAATAAAAGTTTCGATACTTTCTCGAAGAAATCGAAAGTTGAGCACAAGATCCAAAAGAGGAAATCCAAAGAGTGCGTTAAACATAGCTTAAATGCATATTACAATTTTATTTTTATAAAATACATGAAGGTAATAAAACTGCTAATAGCGAGATTTAAAAGGCGTAGTTATATAAAATACGTGAAATGGGTAAAACAGTGCATGGATAAGAGTGAATGAAATCAGATCTCTCAGAAAATGTTATAGGATTTCCCCTAACAAATCCTTTCGTACATAAAATAGTGCTGCTAAAACAAGGACAAATGGTTAATATGTAATGAACAAGTGTCGCATTGGTGTCTCCGAACAACAGATGTAGATGGGTGAGACATCAGCATTGCGTAGACGCAATACAGGTATAGGATACAGATTAGGTTTGATGTTATAAAGCAGGGGTTTCCAACTGGCGGCTCGCTAAGCTTTTTTTTTTTGTGGCCCGTGAACTAAAATATATTAGCTGTCATTTTTTTGCGGACAATTTTCGCAAACAATCTATATGGGTTTAAAATACTTTTCTCGTTAATAGAAACCTAATTTCTTAGCTTCTGTGAAATTTAACTAACCAACGGTGCAAAAAAAAATTTTTCTCGGGGTTTGCATCCAAGAAAATATTTATTCAAATACAAAAATAATCGTGTATGTTGCTCTTTTTTTATTTCATTTTTTTTATTTTTTGAATATAATTTAGCATGTGTGTATCAGAAATTTTCTCGAAGAAATTCTACGATTTAACTTTTTGAAACCACTCATTTTGGACGAAAATATTGACACACACATTTGTAAATTTTAAATTTAAATATCCATTCTCTTGTGGTTGCAGCAGACAAATCTCAATTTTCTCATTGAAAATTTTGTGCGGTACTATGTAAGTTTTAATACCAGCCTTTTTAAAGTTTTATATCTAAACAATTAGATATCTGTTGCACATTAATTGTTCAATACATAGGTGCACATTAAAGTTATTGTAGTCCGAATTTTTATTATTTATTTAATATTTTTAAAAATATTTTTAAAAATATTATTAGTAACAATTAAGTATTTTTGAAAATCTACTTCTTATTTTAATTTGTAATTCAATTCTCTTGTTTTGTACAACTTGGTAAAAATCTGACAGTAATATTTAATGTTTCTTCAAGCATAAAAGAGTCCTACATAAAATTTTGATAAAGTTGCGGCCAGCCATTTTATTTGTCTTTTTAATTGCGCCCCCGGCCTCATGCAAGTTGGAAACCCCTGTTATAAAGTTTATCGAAGAAATCTAAGGAACCCACACAACTTGATTCTGTTTTAAATCAGTTTTTAGTTCATATCCAGTTGTTTTTAACTTATTTTTCTTTCTTTGTTACAGGCAACAAGCCAGCCGTTGGGTCAGATCATGAGACTCACCCCTATTCTACCTCCCTTCGTACTCAACGAGTTGCCTAAAAAGGTTTTTGTAAATATCTACAAGATATATATATATATATATACATATTGAAGCAAAACTATACGTGTATTTCCAGAAAAAGAACTTTGTCAAAAGACACTTTGAAAAATGGCACTTATATAGAAAAAAAATAACCTATAAAATTGTACATAAGAAGAAACTGACCATTGTGAGTGTTTTTAATTTTTTTTTTAAATAATAATTTTTCGACCCCCAGGTATCAAATGACAACGAGTTCAACAGTGGTCGATAGATGAAAAAAGCTCATTTATTCCAAAGCTCAGCACACTTCATGCTAATCGTTGAAACTGAAATTAGACTGTAGCAAAGGAAAAAAATATTAGTTCGCTACCGATTGTTAGAGTTAAATTACAGTCTTTCAGAACGAAAAGATATTTATCAAAAAGAAATCAAAGCAAAATATACTTAACCCTAAAGCATTCCAAAACAAAAATGGCTACGTGAAAAAATTCAAGATGAGTAGCCAGATTTAAATACGTACATATGGAAGATATTAATAACTTTCTTCTGAGCCCAAAAGAGAGAATTCCATAGACTGGAGAAAAGACGGCGGAGTGGTAAAAAAAGAGAACATTTTGTTGCACGTCGAAAATGGCGTCAAGAATCTGGGATCTGTGTTAGTTCTTGTAAATAGCTTCATCCAACAAAAAAAAAAAAAAAAAAGACTTGAACGTAGTTCAACTAATTATGATGTGATTATTTCACCACCTGCAGGGATTTAGACCCATTTAGTGATTTGTAAATCACTTTTGGTTGTTGGCGCTTTTTTTAAGTGTGTCCATGTTATTGATGAACTGTATAGCGTTTAGAACGATTTTCTCAACACTGAAAAAAAAATGTTATGTTTTTCTCACTACATTGCATCCATTCACGAATCATACATAACACATTCCTTCTCGCGATTCTATTTTTATGAACTATTTGAAGAATGAAAAAAAGAATTGTTTTCACATTAGCGTGCTCTAATGTTTCCAATTGTTTATGTACATTAAGGTGAGAAAACTCATTATTGAAAAATCCACTTTCCATAAAATTATGAAGCATTGTTCATGTTTAAGAAATTGCAACCGAGACGTAAATAGTAAAACAAATTTAAAAAACTATCAATGACTGCATATGTACTTATTTCCCAAGACATTTTATTCAGTTCTACGCTATGTTTTAGAAAATTTAAACACAGTTTAAAAGATCAAGTTATAAACAAGTAAATTCAAATTTGTTAGTCATAGAAACATAAGTTAAAACTCGACGAAAAACTAATAGTTAATGTCATCAGTTTTTACTTATTTTTGTAAAAACTGATAAACAAGCATAATTTTTTTAAAAAAATTTTTTAATTTTTCTTTATTATAAAGTCTTAAATATTTTTATGAAGTAAGTCCTTATCATTGAGATTTTAAAATTTTCAGGTCTTTATTTTCTCTTTATGTTATTGATTATTCCAAAACATTTAATTTAGAGCGAATCTTTTTATAAAAAGTACCTATTATTTGACGCACTCTGATTATAATTATCAGGTATAACAGCTCTATTGTTTTCACTCGGATGATACCGGTTTGCATTTGTTTACACTCCTGCATCAGTGAGTTTAGTTTTATGAGTGAAAAGTGACATATAAATTCATTCAAGTATTTGAATGAATTTAATATTGGTAAAAAGTTGGATGATCTTTTTAACCCTATAAATTAATGAAGAACCAGAATGCAAAAAATGACATCGTAATAAAAAAAAAAATTAAAAAAATTTTATCTTTGAAATGGATTATTATATCGGTCTTTAAATGCACCCAATTTATGGAATTCCAGTTTCTTCAATTCAAGTTCTATTCTTACTAATCAAATAATGCATTTAAAACAAAACCAATTGTATTCCTGAAATTAAATGTGATATTGTCAGCGCTAATGTGAAACCATATTTCATTCTCAGCAATTTTCAACCAAACGACGGATTCAAAACAGCCACCTAAATATTTATTAAAAAAATATGATCGTTTTGTTCAACATAATTATTGATAATAAATATATAGAACCTAAACTAGTGAATGATATTTTCTGTGTATTTTCAGAGAGAATCGATCATTTGAAAATAAAACTGAAATGGAAGGAATATAGACTTAATGGGGGAAAATAATCAGCGATACATTTTCAAAATGCCAAATAAGGAATTTGATATAGTAATGAGAAGAAGAAAAAATCAATGATCTCTAAAATATCAAATTGTGAAAGTTAAAATAATTCGGAAATTGGAGTATCGATACTTTTCGACCATAATTTAATGAAATTAAATTAATTATTTTTCTTTTAATTTATTCTATATGTAAAGCAATAAGGATTTATCATAATTCAATTGCTTTTAAAGTTGAATTTTTAAAAAAGTGTTTTTTTTTAATCCAATCTGATTTAAACACGAAAATGATGCAGAAAGTGCTTAGATTTTTGTTGCTTGGCTTAAATGGAATTTAATAGCGTGATCTGAAACGTTTTACAAATTTCACTTGAATTCTTTTTAATTAACCTTTCTTATATACTTAAAATATTTTGCCTAAAAAACAATTCAGCTCCTTTCACTGAAATAAAAAATTAGTCTAAAAAGGAAGAGAAAAAACTTGTTTTTCGTGATACAAGCAATTTGAGTTTTCTATTAACAAGATTGAGTACTTGTATTTGGAGTATCTTGTACGATTTCTAAAATCTAGGATTTGAAAGTTAAGTCGTTAGTACATTATTAGAAAAAAATACATATTTAAGGGAAGCATTTATTATGATTTATTACAGGCGAATCTTAAATTATACAAAACTGAGGGAGACTGAATTAAAATCAAAACCTGTTTGATTGCCAAAATGGATAATTAGAAATCCAAGTTTCAATGGACGAATATAGCTAGTTTTAATTTTTACAACTACATGCCCGGGGAAAAATTCTTACGTGCTCAAATATATCTTTTGAATGCCTATTAATGAAACATTTTGAATGTATTATTAATCAGTCGAAACCTAATCGAAGAAACTAATTAACAAATTCAGAAAAAGACAAAATAAGTAACATTTAAATTAATAAATCAAAATAGAAAAGCGCTTAAAGCAGCGAAATACAAATTTATTTTTATCTTAATTTAAAAAAAGTCAGAAAAACACCAGTAGAAAATCAAATCCATAAGGATTGAAAGATATGTGTGTATCCTGTGTTGTTTTTCTTCTGACTTTTTAAATCAGTCGAAAGTAATGACATTATTTACAGCATATCTACAACAATACATATAAAGCATAAATTACTAAATATTATTGTTAAGTGCATGTCCTTACTTGCTGTCGTGCTAAAACAACCTCTGTTCCATGCTGATGAAACTTAACTAAATTGGGCATGTAGAGGAACATCACAGCCCTGACAGTGTCAAGTATTAAATTTGAGTTGCAAATATCAAAGGAGTTTATTCAATACTGAATATACACGGAAAGAAAATTGCGTTCAAGAAAACTGATAAGATGAAATTAAACAAAATGATTCCTTTCTTAAAAAATAAACCATTTAAAAACTAATTTTTTTTAAAGTATTTACTAATTTTATTGTAAATATTTTATAAATATTGTTAACACGGCACATTTTAATCCAAAATTTAGCAATTCTATAATTTTTTTCAAAGATCTTCTAAAAATCAACGTTATTTTAAAATTTCTTTTTCTTATTTGCTTAAAATTAAAGAATTTAGTGAAGAAAAATGAGAGTCTGGTTTATCAAAGAGAATCGTTTAAATACATAATTTAAAGCACATTCTAAAGTATAAAATGCAATTGTTTCCTCCTCCAACTATGCATTTCGCTTCTATTGTTAATGAATATAACATTTTAAAACAAAGATATCTTTCTCAAATTATAGTTTTTTCTTAATGTTATAAAAAAAAAAACATTTTTCTCACGAATGATAAAAAAATGTTTTAAAATTATTTTTAAGGCAATAAATGATCCAAAATAATTGGAGTTATTCTTAAATTTTTGATGAATCCTCGAAACTTATTGAATAAATGTTTGAAGTTTTGTTCCTATCAGATTATTGCAAACAGATTCTATAGACGATCTTACTCTGCACTATAATATATTGTTGAACGTTTTATATTCCAATTACTCATAAATCACCCGTCATTTTTTAAATGAATCAAATATTCTTTCAATTCTTTTAAAGGTATCAATAACAAAAAGTGTAAAAATTTAGGATGCAAACGCAAATATGGAATGTTTTTTTTTTTCATTTTCCAACTTGCTTTGATGAAAAAATATCTAAATAGTTAATGTAGAAAGTTATGTAGTCAAAACTGCGAGAGATTAAATAGCATTTTCATCGCATTTGGGACCATAACACGTAACAGGGTGTCATGATTTGTTTACTATTTTGTCACGGTTAAAGTTAAAACTAAGGCTTTAAGAAGTAGAACTTAGGTTCACTCATTTTAATGTTAAAGGTTAGCAAAACTCCGTAAAAGTTAACATCTTACATTTTCGGGGAGAAAAATTTTGGACTTATAAAAACAAATTACGTAAGAAAACTTCTCAATTAGAAAGTTCTAAATTAGAAATTGAATCAAGAAGTCATTCCTTTTAGTTTTATTTCAAATTTAAAAAAAAAAAAACAAGTGTCTAGAAATACTAAAGTTTTATACCACATATATTCAAACATTTGACTCATTCGTAGTTCCACTAGTCATCAATTGAAAACTACACTCATTATAATGTGTTTATAGAAATATTTTTTCCAACATTTTTTTTTGAAACATATTCTTGTCGTTTGAATTTTATTTCATGTCTGAAAATAACTATTTTACTGAATAAAGGAAACGATTTTCTTGATTTAGCTCAGCTTTATTTACTAACGATTTTAATTTGAAACCGTAAGATGTTTTTCGAAAAGCACTTATTTGCTAAATTTTTGAAAGCTTTTCTTGTTTAATTGTTAAAAACAAATTGCTCTATTAAAAAAAAAAAAAACATTTGAGCCTCATTAATATTTTGCGTACGAACGATAAATATTTTTACCTTCTTTTTCATAAAGCGGTTTTAAAAGTTGTTCATTAAACAAAATTTTTGTAAACATTTTAGTGAATTTTAACAGAGTGCAGAATTTGCGCAGATTGAACAATTAGATTTCAGGGACTTATTAGAAAAATTCTACTGACTTTTAGCTCACTTGAAACTCAAGGCCTTACTTGTCTCTGGAACAGGTGAATGTGCGGTCACTCTTGTCTGTGATTCTTGTTCGAAGAATTCATGTTCTTATCACAAATGGATGCACTCAAATTTGTGACTTGTTTTTGTTGAAAATTTGATGACAGGGAGAATGTTGACCTATCAATAGTTATTAGCTTTTCGAAATTATTAAAAAGCTTTGAATTAAATTTGTCAAAATAAAATATTTCGACATTTTTTTTGTCTACAATAGTGAATTACACTAACTGACCTCACCTCATGTGCATAAAATCATATTTCTTTGTGTATATTTTGAATTCATATATGTTTCGTGTGAGATTTCAAAAATACCCGCAGGACAGTTTCTTTCCAAGAAAGCTCTTCATTTCAGTAAGCATCGCTTGAAATTGAGACAACCGCTTCAGTCACGCTTTATCACCTGCTGCTATTATACCTTCTCATTAAATTTAAAAACTGCTCTTTTCCCAGCAAAAAGGAAAAAAACTATTCACTCAAAAGATCATAAAAAACGTCATCTAATTTATGAAATAATCTGAACACTATAAAAAGTGAGTAGATAAAGCACTATGAAGCTCGAAAAGTTTCATTTTTTTGTGATATAAAGTTGTAATAAAATACGATGAAAATTTTAAAAAAATAACTCAAATCTGGCATTTGAACTATTTTTAACAGCAGATGATGCTGAAAAGAAATCCTTCATTTAGAAGTGGCTTTGATGAAACATGGCCGCCGTTATTCAAACAATTGTTATAAACCCATTATGTCTTAAATGATGGATCCATTTGGTTAAGGAATTCATCCATTATGAGAAATGAAAAATTTTCAAATCATTTTATTGACGCATTTATCAGTCCGTTATGAATAAGAATTGTTGGAGTCATTGACGAACGCAATATATTTTGCCCCACTTCGTTGGTCATCACAAAGTTTGAATAAATTTGTTTTCTTTTTTCTCTGTTTACATTGTATAAACAAGCATCTGATAAGCATATATTGGTTTCCTAAAATGAGTGAAGTAAATATTTATTTTTTGACTTAAAAGTCATCTTTCTCCCTGTCAAGTTGAAAAATTGTATAGTAGAATTGTTAAGAAAAAAAATGTTTAATTTTTAGTCATGTTAAGTGTATGAATAAGAAAAATTTTGACATATGTTTTTTTTAAAAAGAAAAGAATTGTTTTTAACTCCTTTTGTATAAAAAAAAAAGATGTTCACGTTCACCTGTGCCATTTGAATGAGCAATGTACATGTGTGTAACCCATTAAAAAAAAAAGATTTATTGTCCAATAAAAGTAAAGTGTGTTACTTTCATGGATGTGTCTGTTTTAAATGTGTGGAATCCATCTTTCAAGTGCTAAAAAAAAATGTTTTCAAAATACAGTCCCGCTATAGTGAATATCTGTCCGAAATTTCGGTTCACTATAAGTTCACAGCTCCCCTTTTTATGACATTTAAATAAATGATCCCTAAAATGAAATACAAAAATGACTGAAAAATACGTAGTAAATAATTACAAACAAAAATGAGTCCAGCTGATGACAATTTTCCCTCAATTTATATTATCGACCGGTTTTTAAACCATTCTCAGCAAACATTTGATAATGCTTATTCAATAATGACATTCCAAATGAGTTCACTCTATCCTCAAAAAATAACATATCGTTCACTATATCCGGGAGTTCACTATATAGCGGGGTTTGACTGTATTAAAATGTGAACAAATTATTTGCATTCTTTATTTGTTTGAATCAACTCAACTGTTTTAATGAGAGCGAATTTGCAATGCAAACAAACAATGGTAGAGTATAGCAATGCAAACATAAAAATTTTCGTAATTTTTATATTAAAAATGAAAAGCAAATTATATTTCCGAAGTAATATCACAAAATAACGCTAAAACATGAAGAAAAAAAAACATAATTTTTTGTTTTTCGGTATATTTAGTCCACTTTTGCACTACAGCTAAAATGGGGCAGGTTTTTTCGAAAGAAGAAACACCAAAAAAGTTTAGCTAATTACCTCGTAGAACTTTTTGGAACTAAGTTTCGAAAGTCATTCAAATATTATAAAATGTCGAATGATAAGATAAACTGTAAGTTTGTCAAGAGTTTTAACTAATCCGACACATTGAAAAATTGTACTACAATTTCAGACTAATTACTCTGATAAAAATGTAGCAGTAAGGTAAAATGCCTATATATATTTCTGAAATAAAAATTTAAAAGTTACATTTAAAAAAAAAATTTTAACATGTTTTTCATTACATTGTACTCTTGTCGGTCCAAAAGATAAATTATAATGTTTGGAATGATTATGAATGCTTAATTTGGGCTATATTAAAACTGCCTACACATATTTTAGTTGAAAATTTATTTTTTGACTTTTGGCCAAATATCATGGTGCCCACAGTGCATGAGCAGAATTGTTAGAAAAGATGTGACGCTTAAAAGTTTAACCCACTGGCGGTTAAGCAAAGGTACGTTTCTCCCCAATTTATTGAAAAATATGGAGAGCTGTGGGGAGAAAACTGCAGGTTAAAATAAGACTTTTACGAACAGGGTGGTTAAGCCTGCTACCCTGATTCCGGTTTTCCTCTAAACATTAAGATCATTTTTCTAATTATTGCTTAAATCGGAAGTTGAGTAAAAAAACATGATTGATTGAATGTGTAATGGTACAAGAGTATGTCCAATGCATGCGACAATTTTATTATGAAATACATGAACACTAACGAGACGAATATATTTAAAAGTCAGTAAGAAGGCGTATATAAAATAGATGAAATGGGCAAAACCTAAATTAGACTGAATGAAATCAGATAAAACCAGCTATAAAATACAAATAGATGGATTTCACCTCATTAAAAAAGGTGTTTTGTAGAATCACTGCATCAAAAGTAAATTTAACAAATAATCACTCACAATAGATGGATTGCGAGTAGTTAAAATTAATTTTTTAGAGAATATAGAGATTCCGCTGAATAAAATGGGTGCATTTCATGGGAAAGTATTTCTTTTCGGTGCTCTTATCCAGACATATTGACCAGCACAAAAGAAGATGTAGGAACAGTTTGAGTGTTTTAACTCAGATATATACTTTCAAAAATATTAAATAGGAAAGCGTTTACAACACTCTTTTGTTTCTGCCTTTACAACACAGAATTCTTGGATACGTCGTTATATCAATGAAATACACAATGAATTGTAGCGAACATTAAATTCACCTAAATCAAACAAAAATTTCAAACTTTTGTTTATATCATCATCATATCTGGCTAGACAGCCCAGGATGGGCCAGTGCCTTCCTTTGAATTCGAATCCACTTCTCTCTACTTTTGACTCTTGTTCGTCAGTTTTTCTCCTTTAGAGTAAGGAAATCAGTCTCAACTAAATCCAGCCATCTCAGCCTGGGTCTACCTCTTTTCCTGTTCGTTAGGGGTTTGTGTAATAGGATTTTCTTTAAATTTGAGTCATCATTCCTTCTGAAAATGTGAGCTGCCCAGTTCATTCGATTTATTTTAATGAATTTCACAATATCTGGCTCTCTGTAGATTTTATACAGTTCAGTATTATATCGTCTTCTCCAGGAATTATTTATTTTTATCCCACCAAGGATGGCCCTCAAAACTTTTCTCTCAAAAATGGCAATTTTATTTTCACCAGCTTGAGTTAGGTTCCAGGTCTCAGAGCCATAGGTAAGTATTGGCCTAATTAATGTTTTATGGAGTAAAAGTTTTGTATTTTTTGATAGAAGAGAGGATTTGAGAAAACGTTTTAAACCATAAAAAGCTTTATTTGAACAAATTAGACGACTCCGAATCTCATTGTCTATGTTATTGTCGGCAGTAACTATTGGACCAAGGTAAGTAAAATTCTGAACAGTCTGAAACCTGTGGGAACCAATCTCCAGAAGATCTATCTATCTTAAGTTAAAAATTCAGAAAAGATTTTTGACACCTCATGTGACAGTTAATTGGAAAAGCAGTTTCAAATTTAAAAACACTTAGCCACTTTTAGTTGCGGAATTCAACGAGATGACAGTCTTGAATTGAAACAGTCTGACTGGAGGGCGAAATACACCATAGAAGATTCGATGAAATGCACAACCACTTATATACTATTAAACTTCAACTGTTTCAGTTAAATTCTAGTTATTCTTAACGACACTCTCTCACAATCCACGCTTATTTATTCATTCGATCATTCACGTCGAGACTCCCTGGGCAGAGCGTGCTCTCCTTCTATTCTGCTATCCATTTCACAAAAGGTTTATAAGAGACTGCAAGTTCCAATAAACGCTGCACAATGGGCTATTGGCGACGATCTTAGAATCATCCCGCAGGCATGCCATCCCAATTTTGATCCTTTGCAGAGGGGATGCCCCCCCCCCCCCCGCTTNCAGTGGACTGATCGTTAAGACACGGTTCCCAGCAGATCACCGAAGTCAAGCATCACTGGCTGCGGTCAGTGTGCCAGTGTACGGGTTCTTGTTAAACTGTTCAACCGTAAAGTGCTCGACTTCGCTTGCAGGTCGTCGGCTACCGAAGTGGGGGAGCCATCCCCTCTGCAGAGGATCTAAATTGTGGCGGCATGTCTTCTGATCATCCTCAGGGATGTTTTCCAGACCGTCGCCAATAGCCCATTGTGCAGTTGACGTAAATAAACTACAACTAACCGAATGGCTTCAAGTGTGAGGCCAAATCAAGATTTTCCCCCTAATCTGCCATAAAGAAGAAAATAATGATAGAAACTATTAAGGATACAATAATTTATATGAATGAAGAAAAAAAAATTAAAAAATGTTTGTTGTTGTTGTTGTTAATTTACGTCGCACTAGAGCTGCACAAAGGGCTATTGGCGACGGTCTGGGAAACATCCCGGAGGATGATTCGAAGACATGCCATCACAATTTTGATCCTCTGCGGAGGGTATGTCCGACTTCGGTAGCCCGACGACCTGCGCTCGAAGTCGAGCACTTTACGGTAGCACAGTTTAACGAGGACCCATACCGCACACCCTCGGTCCCTACGCAGACTGATCCAAATGGCCGCACACTGACCGTAGCCAGTGATGCTTGACTTCGGTGATCTGCTGGGAACCGTGTCTTAACGATCAGTCCACTGCGGGACTAAAAAACGTTTACGTAGAGAGTTTTTGCCTGACGAAATTCTTTCACTACTGAGCCTCCTTTTCTATTTAGACCAGGGGCCTCTTTAGTCGAGCGGTATCGCCCACCAAACGTTGGACAAAGAGCGGGTTCGAATCCCGCCATGTATTCTTTGTGTGGTCCTTCTCTGAATTGTTCTGTATGTCTTTCAACTTGACAAAGGCTTATAAGCATAAATTGAGCACCAAAGTCATTTCAATAAAACAAAGCTATTTAGTTCAGACAAAACTCCTTTACAATCTCTTTGCAAATAGTCATTTCATATGACTCAACTTAAAATTATCATTTCTAGCTTCACAATTCTGAATATTATAATAAAAAGAATTTTTTCTATACATATTAGTGGTAAAGTTTTGCATAGTATTTTGGAATCCCTTATTAAAGGAGAACTAAACAGGAAGAAAATAATTTTTATACTTTATTGCAATAAAAGAAGGGTTATTGTCTTTTCAGAATCAGTTTTTCCAAGTTCATCAAAGGAGATTCAAACACAGTTGAGAAAATGAATGCTGTCGAGTAAGACATAACAAGAAAACCTAAAAAGGTGGTGACCTGTAAACAAAAATGTATTCATTAGCGTCACTTTTTAACCAACAAATGTATGCAATTCTGTATTAGAAATAGCAATTCTGTATTATTTTTATCGAAAATATGTCATCATTATACCAATTTTTGTTTTTGCAAAAATTCAACCTATTTTTTAATTTTATTCATAAATACAAGGAACTAAAAGAAAACATAGTTGACATTTTAACTTTTTTATGCGTAAGAAATATTTAATTGACCATCTGTTAACTATCCCAAATGAAAAAAGTTGAATATTTGTTCACAGCTTCATCATGCATCTGCATTACTTTCACTCGCCATATTTTTTTGTTGTTGCTCTTTTTTCTCTGTAAATTCATCCACGCACTCCCAAACAAAAATGGTCAAACTTCCAGCAGATTATTATTATTTTGGCTGAATAAAAACGTGATAAAACAAAACGAATTCTTACTCGGGATATTTGCAATAACTCGGGATAATCAGGGAAGAGCTTCTTTCCCAAACACGAGATTTAAAACAACGAGTGCTCTTCTCAACATCATCCGGCAATTAAACAGGTTTTAATGTCATTATTAAGTACACATTTTTTTAAAAAAAAATGAAGGAGCAAACAAATAGTATGAACTTACAGCAATGAAGTCTGTAAAGAAATATGCAGTCTGAAATGAATTGTAGTAAGCGTGAATAAATATGGGATGAATAAGGTATGCGGAATAGGTGAGACGACTCAGTGGCATCCAAAACTTCCACGATAGCAGTTTATTCATCGCACCTAAAACAAACAAATATAATCAAACAAAAAAAATAATATTAAAAAAATAAGAAATGTTTTAGAAATACCTCCGTGTCCTGTTTCACACACAAATATTATCCAGGCCAATGCAATGGAAAAGGCAGTCCGGCTCAGGGAATTGTAGAAAAAGGCAGCTGTCCGGCTCATGTCAGCGTGATACAGACCAAACATGACACTCAATCCACAAGATGCTGCAACTATCCAACCTATAGCTTGTTGCCACTATAGATTACGCAAAAGAAGGATTCGTTCCAAAAAAAGAGTTTGTTTGTTATTTTTACAGTTAGTTTTAAATTTTTTTTACACTACTATTTTCAAATGCACACAGCTCAAAATCAAAAAATGGATTAAAGAGTTTCTACTCTAATGCCTATAAATATCTGAGATAAAATTTTACAAGGTAGGTAGGTACTTTATTTATGTCGCACTAGAGCTGCATGGGCTATTGGCGACGGTCTGGGAAACATAACTGAGGACGATCCGAAGACATCACAATTTTGATTCTCTGTAGAGGGAATGGCACCCTCGCTTCGGCAGCCCGACGACCTGCACGTGAAGTCGAGCACTTTACGGTAGAACAGTTTAACGAGGACCGATACCGCGCACCCTCGGTTCCTACGCAGGCTGATCCAAGTGGTCATCCACCTGCACACTGACCGCAGCCAGTAATGTTCTTCTGAGAATAGTATCTTTGCGATCAGTCCATTGCGGGACCAGAAAAGAGGGATTCGTTCCAAAACAGTCAGAAATACCAGTTTGTTTGTTTCTTTTCATTTTTACATCTAATTATTATTATTTTGTTTTCACTCTACCATTTCCATTGTATAAAGCTCAGAATGAAAAAATGGATAAAGAGTTTCTACTCTAATGCCTCTGAAAAAAATCTGAGATAAATTTTACAAAAATCGACCCCATGTGTAACGAAACGGTAAAAAAGCTGAATTAAATATTTACTTAAACGATGACATTTTTCTTCTGTGATTTTTAGGGAAATATTCCTCCTGTAGTTTTCGTCTTATTTTAATTCTATAAAATATTTCCTTAAGGGTGTAGATGAATAAAAAATACATTTGTCTTAACACATAAATTTCGATATCAATATTTTAATGTCTCTCTATTTACTTAAATGTCTTTCTACGTTGAATAAAATAAGATCGAAAAGCATCTTTTTAAACTATAATATAAGAATAAATTTGGCTTTTCGATACATTGTGTAATGAGCGTCACTTCAAACCACCGAGTTCGTGGTTTTAACCGGAACTATTTGAGCCATCTCTTCAGTTCCCCATTTTTTAATTTCTCTTTCAATTTTTTTTTATAAATATTTCATTTGCGCTAATTTTTTTTTTATTTAAGTTTTAATTAAACACATTTTGTGCATTAACTGTCAATTAAATACAGTTGAAATCTTTTCCTTTTTTGTATACCACGAAGAAGTCACCGTTTTGAATACGGTGGAAATTCTGAAAATGCTACCTGATAATTTCATCGATATAATATTTTTTTTTTTTCCGCACAACAAAAAATTGCAAAAAGGAAATGCTACGAAAATATTATGCCAGTCTCATAAATTCAAACATACTGAAATTGAAACCACTATAAAGCCATCGTGAATCAATTATTAGGACCCTGATTATTCAAAAGATACCGATTATAAACATTCTTTTATGGAAAAGAATTTACCAATTATCTTGATGAAAAACATATTTTTTTACTTTATTAACAAGGAACATAATACACAAGTTGAAATTTGTATAAGAAACCTTTAATAACAGTTTACTATCCCGAGTTATTTCGGGCAATATGAGCTCCCAAATAAAACTTGGCAAATCGGACCGAGTAAAAACGGGATAAAACAAAATGTACTGATAAATTCTGCTAAACCGGGATGATAAATATACAGCTGTTAAAATCGTTCCTAAAGGCCAACTTGGAGGCCACTTCGCAGGTTACCTGATTCTTTAGTAGCCTCTTCCCTCAGTAGTTTCGAACAGCTTTAGATACTTTCATGAGGTCCTTACATTACATGGAATAGAACTACAGTCTATGACCAAATTGTTAGACGCACTATAAGATTACCTTACCCGACTGACACCGCTTTGCACTTGCTTATTTTAGTGTTTAAATTAGACGACATATAGTATATAAATATAGAACATTTATTATATCAGGTATTATATTAGTATATTATAATAATTAGATCCAATTATTAGACGCACTGTAGTATTTTAATAATGACATGATGTGCACGAGTTTATAGGCAATACTTTTATGTTTAAACACACATGTAATGGGTTGAGATTTTTTATAGACTTCCCATTTGTATTTATTTTTAACATATTGCATTACAATATTAACCAATTAATACACGAACGTTAATAATTGCAAACCGATTTGAGTCGTGTAAAAACAATAGAGCTGCGTAGTAATAATTAAGATTTTACATAGAATCTTTAGTGAGTCTAACAATTTGGCCTGTATATTAAAAGAATGACTTGATTGTACTTAAATTTAAAGAAAGGAGACGTCGATTCACAAAATAAACATTCTTCTTTTAGAAATATAAAAACAAAACTCTCTATTGAAGTTGCCATTCTACAAAACTTAAATTTTCTGAAAACAAAAACAATATTATATCTGTTATGAACTCACCCAATTCATAAATCTCTTCCTTTTGTTCAATTTGTAGAGAACAAATCCAAGCATAACTCCAATGACGTAGGGTGCAATCCTGCAATATGGCTTGTCATATATTAAGTCAAACGATTCCCACATTCTGAAAGGGTTAGCCATACATTAATACACTCAGACGATTCGTTTATGCTACTGTGTATCAATTGGTTAACATTGTAATGCAATACGTTAAAAATAATCACAAATAAGAAGTATATAAGAAATATCCTGAATAAAATCCCATGACGTGCATGTTTAGATATAAAAGTATTGCCTATACACTCGTGCAAAACATGTCATTATTAAAACACTATCGAATAATTGAGTCTAATAATTATAATATAATACCTGATATAATAAATATTCTATATTTATAAAAAATATCTTCGAATTAGAATAATATATTGTCTAATTTAACGTATAAACAAGTGCAAACCGTAAAAACAATAAAACTGCACATTACATAGTGCGTCTAATAATTTGGCCAGGAATTATGTTGGAAAAACTTGAATGCTTATCTATTAAGGGTTCTTATCAGGGGTACCAGAAAATCAATTAAGTTGCAACCTTCTGAATGCTTTTAAAACCATTTTGGTGGTGGAGAAAATGGGACCCAGCTAAATGACCATAAATTCCGTATTTTTTTATTTTAAATCTGTATTTTTCTTTTGAAATATCTTACTTTTTAGTGTAGGCTGCGAAATCACTTGTGTGTGTTACACCAACAAACATTGGTACAATGTCATTTTGATAACTTATAATGGCAGTAGTAGTCCATGTTCCGATCAGTAGCGATATAAGTAAGCTGAATCCAATCACTGGCCATCTAGGATACAAATAAATATTTTTAAAAAAACTAAAAATTAACTTAAAGTACTGAGTATAACAAAAGTATGATAACACTATTATCTTACATTAAGAACTAACCATGTATATAAAATAACCCATATTAATGAAAGGAAGAACAGTTTGAAAGCAGAGAGATTCCAGAAATCTGTAAAATGAATTTTTCTCAATGGTCAATATTTTTGTCAAATAATTTAAAGACACATTATTAGTTGAATTTGATCAAAAAAGTAGTCTCTTTGTGTTTTTTTGCTCTGTCAGATCAACGTAAACGTAGTAGCGGACTACATCACCCAATGAGTATCCCTAATGTTATCAAAAAACATTTAGTTTATTTTTTTACGCTTTTGAAACGTCTTTTTATGAAACTGAGCCATTTAAAATCAGTACTTATTGAATTAAAAACAAATTATGTACTGTGAAGCAAAATTAATGGAAAAAAAGTAATTATTCGCTTTAGGAAATGTTCGAAATCACCCTACATTTATGGATGCCGTTCATTTTCGTGTTAATAACTATTGTACTAATAGATATTGTAACAATAGGTCATTTGTTCTGGGGTATCTAAAGAATTTTTTTGAGAGACACCTTAATTACAGTTGTTTATTATTTTGGTGCTTATTGGTTGGCAGAATTTGCTTGTTTCGGGCAATTTTTTCTAATATCATTATAAAACAGTTCATCGTTTCTCCTTTGCTGGAAAAAATTTCTTTTCTAAGTTCGACCACTTAAAATTGCATTCTTTAAAATGATGTAAAAAATTGTATTCCTTGTATTTAAATAAAATAATAACACTTGCTTACTGAAGCTTATATTTTGCCTTGAATTTCATGTAATAATTTTGTATTAAATAAATTATATTATATACGATTATATATGCTATATAGTAAATAAAATAATAATAAATGCAGTCTTTAAATAAACGAATTGTATAGTGAGTGCAAAAAATTTTCAATTCACTCAGAAATTTCTCCAGATAATACGTAACAAGTAAAATTAAGAGACAAATATTTAAATAGATACGAGGGTTGCTATTTATATTTCTGGCCTTGGCAACAGTAAGTGTTGCTAGGCGACCGCAGACGATTTTAATCGAAAGTTCTGAATGGTACACGACCATTTGTTTGCCAGAAGTCATCGGAGTAATTCGAAAAGAGCAGCAGAACAGGCGAATCATTCTTCATCATGGCAATGCGAGCTCTCACACATCGACTCAAACAAAGGCATTTCTGACGGAGCGAAAGATCGAACTGATGGGTCATCAGCCGTACAGCCCTGATTTTGGCACCCAATGACTTCTTCTTATTCCCACACATCAAAAATAAATTACGTGGACAACGATTTTCGACCCCCGAAGAAGCGGTTGATGCATTCAAAACACATGTTTTAGAGTTACCTCAATCGGACTGGAAAAAGTGCTTTGAAAATTGGTTCAAACGCATGCAAAAGTGTATTGATCATCATGGAGAGCATTTTGAAAAACAATAAAACCAATTTCGATCCTACATATTTGTTTTTTCATTATTAGGCCAGAAATATAAATAGCAACCCTCGTATAAGAAGATCAGTCCAAGACATAAAAACTATCCTCTCTTTTTTTGATTCATTATATCCACAGAAAATACCACTTTCGTGTGTAGCAAGACAGGGGAGCAAGCATTTCGTTCATTATATCCGGGAGTTCACTATAGCGGGGTTGGAATGTATTATTCAATTATTGGCATTATAACGATTTATTTTGTAAAAATGAATAAATAAAATTATGACAATATCATATTTGGAAGTAAAATAATACAAATTGTACAGAGTAAAATTTTATTTTTTCTCTTAGAATTTTATTAAAGATTTAAATTTAAAACTTACTATGATTAAGGATACATTTTAAAACGAACATTATTTTTCAATTTAGAGAACTATTCAAAAAATAAATACTTTTACTAAATGCAGAAAAAGATAATTAAAAAATTTTTTTTAAAAGACTTGGGTTTTCTTCTTTTGCCGGCGATTTTAGCTTGGTTATATAGCTTCGCTTAAGAGCAAAAATATAATTATTTATTTCATGTTTATTTTATATTTCAAACTTCGAATTGAAAAGATCAAACTTCCTATATTCTATTTTTTATATATAAGTTTTACTTTTAATCCACTAAATATGTGAAAAAAAGGTGGAGAAACTAAGCTTGCTCATATATTTTTAATTCTATTAAACGATTTTTTTAAGTGTAGAAATATATATTCGTTAAAAACTAAAATGTCAAAAATACCAATAAATAAATAAATGTAATTGTTCTAAATGACGTATGAAAAACCATTCTAGGTTAAATTCTTAATTGACGTTTTCTCGATTTGTTTTGGTAGATAAAAAGTTTTGATAATATAGTATTATTAGGCAACACCTTTCAAAAAAGGTAGAAAATAAAGCGAAATAGATCATTTTTATTAATTTTTTTCTAAAAACTTGAGTAAGTCTACGCTTCTTAGCTTTTTAATTTGATGACAGCAGAGATGAAAATCGATTTGGATGATGCGATGTAAAACCGGGTTCGAATCCGTGCGATGGATAAGAATTTCATTGCACCGACCACAGAACTGACTTAAAATGTCCTTGCCGTCAGGCTAACCATGAGAGTTTTTCGTGGTTTTCCTCTACAATTGCGGGTTAGTTCCATCGAAAGTGAAATCTCACGATCCTGGATTCAGTGCAAAAATCACATTCTTGAACATGAATAGTCGTAAACACAAAAAATTATAAAAATTAAAACAAAAATCTGGATTCATTATAAAATTTTATAGCACTCTGAAAACCACTTTATTTCGCTCTTGTTTTATTCATTTTAGATCTTACAGGGCGCGGGATAGCCTGGTCGGTAGAGCGCTGGGTTCGAATCCCGCCGGCCGAAGACTCCTCGTGTAGTAAAATGGTGACTGATGCACGTTAAATCTGTCGAGTCGCAAAGTCCTCCATGTTCCCATAATAAATCAATACCTCTGGGGGTACAGAATTGGAGATGGATCGTCCTCTGATTCAGGTCAAAATTACGATCTGTGGATGCATGAATGGGTTCGCCCTATAAACGGGCGTGACGTGTGGCAAAAGTCGAATTCTTGGTCATAGATGGCGCCACTGGATAACAAGAACAATCGCACCCCTCTGCTTTAACAGTCAACAACAATGAATCTTTGTCATATTTTATGAAATGCTTCGAAAGATTTACGTTATTAACAGTTTCCCATACCGCTTTGTTTGGAAAAAAAATGCAAAAAATCAACATATTTTATTAATAAGTACAAGAAACTAAAACAAAACAAAGTTTTTATGTGTAAAGAAGAAAAAAAAAGTTTAATTCACCACTAAATTACTATCCCGAGGTATCTCAGGGCAAATGTATGCAAGGGACAACTTTCCAAACACCTTTTCTGTAAGTAACGCAGTCACGGCAGATTAATTTTTTCTTCCGGCCGAGTGATAAAACAAATGCCCGAGTTTTCTCGGGATAGTTACTCGGGATAATGAGGGAATCGACAGTTAATAAAATAGAATTTACCTCCACAAAGGATACAAGAAGAATGGACTTGTCAAATAAAACTGCATGTCATTCGCCAGATACCAAGACCATCCTACACACTGCAACAAATTAAACTGTTTATGAATGCATTTAAACAATATAACTCTCACTCAAAAGAAATGTTTAGTTTATAATGTAATTTTGTGTCGATACTTATCTTGTGTGTTTCAGTAGATCATTATTGAATTGTGGGTATTTTACCTAATTGTGCATTTGAAATTCTTCTAATGACTTCATATTTATTGTTTGATTATTCGTAAAAAAAAATGTTCTATTTTTATTTACTCATGCTAATTTCATACGATAAATTCTACTATAAATAAAGAAAAAAAAATCTACATGAACGAAGCTTTTTCACTCCACTAATAGTTTAAAAGGATTTCTGATGATGCACATAGCATTTATATTAATATACATTTTATTGAAATTTGAGATGAATTTAAGATCAAGAAGGATTTAAAATATATAAAAATAAATTGTAAGTTACTTTGCAAATTGTACTTTCATTTACACTCGGTATCCTTAAAAAAAAATCAACAACTAACCATTTCATTGAACTAATATAAAACAACCAAACGATTCATAAATTCAATTAAAAATAATAAAATTAGAAGAAAAAAAACGCCTTATGACGATCCCTGGTCAAATGTTTTTTCTTCTTTCTGGATGGTCACACCATTTCAAATCAACTGTTTCACAAAATACTTCTTCATATTGAACAATTATACAGTAATAAAAAAAAGAATACATTAAAAAGACCCATTTTTAAATGCTCTTTTTTTTTTTTTAAATTGTATGAGTTACCATATCATTGATTGGTATGAAATTGTTGATGTAGAGTAAATATTTCCACCATGATCCACGAGAAGCGTCGCAGTGGTTGTCGTCCCAAAAAGGTCCTGATCCCAAGTATTTGAAGACAATCAAATAGAAGAACACAACTACCATGTACGCTGGCGTCAATCTGAAAAAGTGAATCCCTCAATAAAAACCTTTCATTATTGCAAAATCTTTTTTTCTGATGCCACCACAGTGAATGGCTTTCAATAATTGATGTACCTTCCATTCTTAAAATTGCCTCCCTTATCTCTTACGACATTCGTATTGAAACACTCTGCAAATTAATTTTTAATATAAAGATTTATAGTTAATACATATGTAACATTAAAATTTTAAAAAAATCTTATCTTAAAAAATGTATCTCATAATCCCCAAAATATGTAGGCTCTCGATATAATAATATATTCCTCTACAACAACATATTGATTTGGTATCCAAAATATTGTTGTAGCGAGATTTAACTGTATTATTAATGTACAACTTTTCTAATCTTTTTCATTACTTATCTAATATTCAAATTAGGTGTCTGATTTTTTACACGAGTTTAAAGTAGATATTTTTTAAATGCTTTAGTGAAACAGTTTTAAAAAAATTTTATAAATTTATTTTGAAACTAAAATTTGAGAACAAAAAAATACACTGACATTCGGTGTACATAGTAAAAAACATAAGAATCATGTTAATGTCGAAGCAATTTTTAATAGGCAGCCAAACATTTGCTTTCTTAAAAACATGGAAATTTATATGTAAATAGAAATTGATGCAAATACAAACTTTCGATTCTTATAAAAAATTATTGTGAACAAGAAATGCCAACCCATATTCAAGTGATAATATGAATGAAAGCAATATTGGAAGCTTTCTTGTTATTCTTATTGTCAAATTAATCGGAATTAAATATGCAAAAAATTGAAAAAACCCTTTATGTAAATTGGTTGTTTATAAGTGTGAATTGTGCTAAGCTCATTTATTAAAATCTTATTTCCGTCGAAACAGTCGTTACCATAATTCTTAAAAAAGTTGTTTATAACATTTCTCAATGTTAAAATCCAACACTAATGTAAAAAGGATTTCCTGTATAGCACCTTGTTTTTGCTTTTAAATATACTTTTGTATTTAACCAGGCTGATTCATTTGATGATTTAAAAAACAATTGGAACGAGAACTGATGATACATGTTGGATTCTCTACTATTTTTTGGTAACTTCACAGTATATTTTAATGACAGTCCTCAAATGCCATACTTTTAAACGAAATAGTATTTTAAAAAATGGCTTTACCTCCATATCCTATGAACGTAAAAATATATCCAATTTATTTTTCCATTCCTTTTATCGGCTTCTTTTAAGAACAGGTAGGTTAAAAGAAATCCACTGAAAAACAAAAGGTTGTTAAGAAGTCGTTTAAAGTGTTTTTCACAGTGCTGTCTAGGTATCGTTAGGTACAGTCTTAAACTCAATGGCGCCCATAGAGGGCCTACTGTGCCCATCTCAGTTTTCTTGAGCTCTGGGGAGCATATGCTCCCGTTGGATGGTCAGCATAACGCCCCAATGTTTAGTTCCCAGGTTATTCATTTTATCGACCCACAGAAGGGATGAAAGGCCCGAGGATCGAACCAAGGACACGACAGCGCTACCACTCAGCGGCAAAAAATTTAAGTAGTGGTGATAAATGTTTTATCACAAGTTTTATTATCTTCAATGTCACAATTTTAGGAATATTATGAGACGCACTCTATGTGAAAATCTTAATCAGGTGATGCAGAAACCGGTTTGTACTTGTTTACATTCGTGTATCAATGGGCTAACATTTGTAATGCAATACGTTAAGAATAAATACCAATAGGAAGTATATCTTCTGAATGTGTAAAAGCCTCGTGCACTATTAAAACTGTGCGTCTAATAATTTGGACCTAATTATCGTCTCATTTAACCCACTGATGATGCACGAACAAAACATAAAAACAATGAGTCTCATAATTTGGCCTGTACTTAATTTAAAAATATATTTTTTGGTGTGTTAATTGGTCGATCGCTACAATGTCCTAACTAATTTGCTCTCTATTGTAATAGTATTTTAAACCGTTAGATTAAAGTTGTTCTATCAACTAATGTGTTGACTGTAGATATTTTTGATAATAAATGAATAGTTAACGTACAGAAATGTCGTTTCATCTTATAAGCATTTTGTCAAGTAATGACAAACAATTTCACCCTAGCTAATATGCACACTTAAGTAAACACGTGTCAACATTAGAACAGAGAAACTGAATAACATAATCGAGTTCTAAGATGGAACTATATAATGTCTCTCAGAAGTAAAAAAACTCTTAGTTTAAACAAAAATGAGGAATAAAATTGCGGAGAAATTTCGAGGAAAAAAACTGTGAACCAAAAAAAAAAATAACTTCCTGAATAGCTTTTATTTTTTAATAATCAGATAAAAAGAAGAAAAAAAACTAATGGCACTTTTTCTGAATAAACGTGCATTTCTTCACGACCCATTCGGATTTTTGACTTCCAAAATAGGGGAAGGAGTAGCCGCAATATCTTGAGAATTTTTAATGCAAATCGAAAACTTTTTCTCCGCAATTATAAAATTTGTTTATCTAAAGATAATCCTAAGTTTTTATAATTATTCCCTGATTCTTGCAAATTATTCTACAGAATATGATAATCAGAACGAAATCTGTCTGGAGAGTTGCCATTCTTGTTGATGCATGTTTGCCCGATTGGTTAGCTATTCAAGGTTATTCCAAACGTCACATGATCTAATAATAACAGACAGACAGACCTGAGAAGAAAGAAAGCATCGACTGAGAAAGGTGTTTGCAACAATATTTGATAAAGAAAAGAGTCCATTAGTTTCAAAACATCCAATCTGTTCCCTGAAATTAAAATTTATTTAAAAATGACATTCACCTGTGATGAAGAAAATGTTGCATTATAAAGTAATAATTTGCAATGAACAAAAATTCCTCCTTACACACGTTATATCGTAGAGATAAAAACTACCGATTGAAGAAAGTATCTGATTTTATAGTACTTCTTTTTAAAGTGCAAATTATGCAATTTCAGGATAGAAATTATCCAATTTTAGTGTCTGTTTCATAGCAGAAAGTATCTATTTAATAATAGAAAGTATTCAACTTAATAGAGAAAAACATCTAAATGAAAAGTACCTTTTTTATAGTTTAAATCCTTTTAGTAGAAACTATTCAATTTTATAGCAAAAAAAAAAGTCTGTTTTCTCGTAAAAATAATCGAAAGTATATGTGTTTATTGTTTTTACAGTAGTATTTATTCAATGTCATAATGGAAAGTTCATTCAGCACGATGCTTTTAATAGCCGAAAGAATCTAGTTTATAACAGTAAGAATCCGTTTAGTAGTAGATAGTGTTCAATTTAATTATGTTCCAAGAAAGTGTCCAATTTCATGGATCCGGTTTTATAGCTTCCCTTACAAATCTTTTTGAAAATGCAAAAATTCAATAATTTTTTTTTTATTTCATTAATAAATACAAAGAACTGAAACTAAACTTAATACACAAGTTGTAAGTTTAATTTTTTTTAATGTGCAAAAAATAATTTTTTTACCATGAATTTTCTATCCCACATTATCTTCGGAAAATGAAAAAAAGTTAAATATGAGTCTTTGTATAGATCTGAAAAAATCATTACTCGTCATTTTTTTACTCTTTTTTCTACGTAAATTCATCCATTCCATACAACTGTACGTCCCACAAATATAAAAACTCCCGAACAGCCGAATAAAAACGTAATAACGGCCCGAGTTCTCTCGGGATAATAAATACTCTGGATATATCTATTTTAATGTACACCGAAATAATTGTAACAAATATATATTGAAATACCTATGATGGAAACAGGAGTGATGTATGTGTGACCAAGTATAACCCACGTTAAGCTGAGGAATCGAATGCCGTGAATGCTAAGGAGTTGATCACCGCTAGATTTTGTCTTCAAAATCTTTCTTCCGTTTTCTATCATCGAGAAACATTGCCAAAATTTTGTGGATGCTGTAATGAAACATTGAAAAACATCTTAAAATATTACTTTCATCGAATTAAATTTAAATTCAACTTTATTTCTCTTATCGATGCACTTTTATTTACCTCATCGAAAATCTGACTGTTAATTTCTTACAGCAAATATGGTTATAATAATTCTCATATTGGAGATTGCCAAAGTATTTTCAGTACTAGTATTGATTATGGGGGGTTGGCTTAGGAACAAATTCATTCCTTTCAAATTGTGTGGCAAGTGAGGGTGGCCATTTAGGCCTCCCAGTTCCAACAGTTAAAAAAATATCATTTTCATGCTAACAAAACTTTTCGATGTAGAGAATGTTATCTTGATCCTTTTAAGGGATTCTTTTTTGATGATATTTTAAATATGGCCATTTTGAATATACTAATTCTTACTTAATACATCAAATTTTAAAAAAAACGATTTTTTTTTTCATACTGTCTGACTCCAAATCTGCCATTCAAGCTATTAGATCTCGTGAAATACCTATCTCTAGGACTATCCCAGGATTGCCAGGCACTCTTAAATCCAACTCCAGGCACTCTTAAATACTTTCATTCAGCAAAACTCTATATCAAACATTTTATGAGACAAAACTGGAAAGCGTATTTCTTCAAGAAGTTGGAGGAGCAGCTTAGAACAGGGTATTGCCGATAAGCCTCGCAATAAAGCTGTTGCAGAATTCAGACTTGCGGTAGGCCATGATTGCCTGGCGAACCACCTCTGCCGCATCGGCATTCTCGCTGACCCAAATTGCCCGTTATGCTCGAACTTCTATTGAGATGCTCGGCTCTGCGTGGGGACTCTGAGGTGAGGCGCTACCGACATCTGTTAATGAGATAGTGACTTTTTTCTCTTACTTGTTGTTCACCTTTTCGTAAGAGTTTGTCATTTTCTTTTGACATTAGAAATAAAATTTAAAAATTTTTTTTTTCATTTTCCTTGAAACAATACTTCAACCAATATTAATAATGGCGATCACCGCCTTTATAGCATCGTTTGACAGAAGCTGACACAGTCCAAATACAATCATGAATGAATAAATGGAAAAATATGATATTTAAGAGGATTTTAAAAAGAAATCAGTTTAACTGATTATGATAAAAGGCACATGGAAAAAAAAATATTTTCATTGGGGAATACATATTTAAAGATTTTATGTGTTGTTCAGGTCGCAACTGACACGTCGGTAACTTTACATGTTTTCAAATTAACGCGCTGTCTTTCACTAGATTCTTTAAATAGAGGGTGGAATTTATGTTTTCGATAATGCTTACATTTGAAAGGGTTATGAGAATTCACTACAGTTTCAAATAAAAGAGAAACGCGAACAGAGATTAAGTTAAGTGAGTTTATTTTTAAAAATGTCACGAACTTTAGATAAAAGAAGAAAAAATTCGATGCAACTTGCTTTCAAGCATTTGAATTTTGATGAATGCATTTTCATCTGAAAAAAAAACTGTGATTACTTAAAAATATTTCGTATGGTAATAACTTTTTTATTAAAATTCAAAACAGTTTTCAAATTGAATTAAATTTCTAAGGGTCAAATCGTACGACACGCATTCCATTATGTTTAATCCCGAATAAATTTTAATAAATAACGTAGCTATATTAATTAAACTGTGCAAATTAGAGAATAAAATGCGTAATAACGATTCAAGGTCTGTAAATAAATAACTGAAGTTGACTCACTAAGAACATCCCTTTTTTTTCGGTGACCTTTAGTGAAATTGTTTTAGCACTAACTGTGATTATGAGCCCTGCCAAATAAAATGGCGCCGAAAACAAAATATAATAAAAACGTAAAAAATTAGAATTTGAATAAAATACATTTAATATCAGCATTTTATATTCGAATTATAAATAATTATAATGAAAAATGTATATTATATTAAAACTGGGAAATAACGTAAGAAAGGAAAAGCGTGTTTACTGAATTGCAATTTTTTAAGAAAAAAAAAATAATAATAAAAAAAAAGAAGGTAATATCGATTTATCTCATTTGAAAGGTTTTGTGTGGCTTTCCAAAAAGGAAGCAACTTGGTAATAGAAGGTTTATTTTCAAAATAATGATAATAATACCATGTTGAGTTGGAGAAATTAATGTATCTTGCTGTATATTGGGAGTCAACATTTCTTTATCAGTGGTATCAGTTTCACACAGAGTTCTTGGAATCGAGAAACGTTTTGCAGATGTATCAATTGCAGAGGATTCTTTTTCCATCCCAGCTGATGATTCGAGAGGGAACATTGTTACAGAATTTTTTCGGCTGTGCAAAAAAGTTCCCACCAAGGACATGCACAGGAAGTAGAATATAAAACACCTAAAACCAAATAACATATGATTTTAAGATAATGTTACTTCAAGATTTAACCTCCTAATATTAATTCCTACTAGTTTTTATTCTTTACTCAGCTGATCTCAAGTTGTTGTAGTTCATTTACGTCACACTAGAGCTGTACAATGGGCTATTGACGACGGTCTGGGAAACATTCATGAGGATGATCCAAAGACATCACAATTTTGATCCTCTACAGAGGGGATGGCACGCCCGCTTCTGTAGCCCGACGACCTGCACGCTTTTATGGTAGAACAGTTTAACGAGGACTAATTCCGCCCACCCTCGGTCCCTACGCAGACTGATCCTAGTGGTCACCCACTCGCACGCTGACCATAGCCTGCGATGGTTGACTTTAGTGATCAACTGGGAACCGTGTCTTAACGATCAGTCCACTGCGGGGGTTTGCTGATCTCAAAGCAATTGTTTTTAGAATTCCTGCCTAAAGGTTAAAACAAAAATTATTAAAAACATCTTAATTAGATGGAAGATCCTCAGCCAATGGTATAAAATGAACTCATTTGAATAAATTTTCTTGTCATTTGCCGCTTGCTCAGCTACGGATTGTAAAATTTTCAAGTTTAAATTGACAGAATGATTTAATTTAGCCTATATTTTCAAAGTATTGAAATAATTTCGGCTTCTGTGCAAATGCGAAAGTTCCTGAAAATACAGAATCAGTTCGTAATCCTAACGTCTGGGAAGTTATTTCATTCATTTCTTTGAGTAAATTAATATGTTTGATACAGAACTTGAAAAACAGAAAAATATTCATCTTGTAGTTACGGTGGCCCAGGGGCCTCCCGATGAGTTTCCCCAGATTCGAATCCCCCCGATGGCTGGTCCATATAAATTCTGCTACCAGTTGACATAAAATATCCTTTCAATCAGACGGATTATCGTTTTAGAATACTCTTACCGTTGGAACAACCGTGGGAAGTTTTCGTGGTTTCTCCTCCCCATAGCATTATTTTTATTTTATTTTATAACCGTCGTTGAACTGTCGACTCAATTTTATGGGTTTACGACTACTAATGTTCAACTCTGTAGCCTTGTCATTTTGAACCCAATCCAAAAGACAAGGGAACTCCTGAATCGAGTATTGGGAGAAATTTGCCTTCACTTTCTGATGGAGCTAACCCGCATTTGCGTTACATCGGGAGGAAGACCACGAGAGCCTCCCACGGTTAGCCTGACGGCTAGGGGACTGTAACCCATGATCGGTCTACCACTGAGGATATTTTACGTCAGCACTGTGATCGGTGCAAGCCGGTGCAATTTTGAAATTTTGAACCCAATCCAAAATACATTGGAACTCCTGGATCAGTACCCTCCAGAGGCATTGATTTGTTATGGGAACGGCTTTGTGACCCCGACAAATTTTACAGGCACCAGTCACCATTTAATACACAGGGTGATTCTTCGGCCATCTGGGTTCTAACTCCCATTCTCACGAACAAAAATCCAATGCCCAACTGATCAGGCTATACATGCCCCAGAGTAATGTATATTTTATAATGGCCGTTGAACAGCCGACCCAATTTTGTGGGTTTACGACTACTTATATTCAACAGCGTAGCCTTGTAATTTTGTACCCAATCAGGAAGACAAGGAAACTTCTGGATCAAGTACTGGGAGAAATTTACTTTCGCAGAGGATGTTTTGATGGAACTGACCATCAATTTGCGTTACATGAAGAAGAAAACATCCCAAAGGTTAGCCTGACGGCAAGGGAAGTCTAACCCATGATTACACGTCAGCACTGTGGTCGGTGCAAGCCAGATGCGTATCCATCGCCGGGATTGAAACCCGGTTCACTTCATTGTGATTACCCATTATTAGACAGACACAACATTTTAAGGTTGTCCATTCCAGCTGTCACCAAAATTCTTTTCCAATAGCCGCGAACAATATATGAATCACACATCTAACATGCAATCAGCCCCAAGAACTTATAAATGTTTTTTTATTTCCCTTGCAGCAACTCTTTATTTGTGTTAAAATTGATTGGTTGATGGAGTTGGTGCAGTGTGCGAGAACATCTGGAGAAACATCCATTTTCCCAATAGATAAGTAAATGTTTTTCTTTCTTCAATTTTTTTTCTAATATTTTTGTCTTAGCGATTAAAAAGGAATTTCTCTTAATTGTTTAAGCATTTGACATCATCTTTTAAAAATTTATTTCAAAAAGACAAGAGAAAAAAAACGATTAAAAAAAAACAAGATTAATGTCGTGCAAATGCAAAGTGAACTGTCAATGTTGTGTGTAAAAATTATAACTGAAAAAAAATACTTTTTTGCTTAAAACGTAAAATTATATTAAAAAAAGTTGCTTTTTTTTTCTTTCCCGCAATACTTACAAATAGACTAAGCTTGATGTATCCAATTTCTGTTCTTTCAACTTACAGGTGACACTTTTCAACGTGAGGACGGATTTGTGATCTTTGAGAACCGGAAGACGTTCTGAAAGGAATTCAAGATTTTTAAAAGATTCATGTAGTGCTAAAAAAAGGAACATTCTGAATGCATTTTAATGTAATTTAATCAAATTTCAATGATGTAATGACCTTAGGGCTCAGTCTTTCTTCAAGGGTATAACCTCAAATATGCTTTAATTAGTGCAGATGATAGCCATAAAATTAGACTCATGGACAAAAAGCGCACCAAGAAGGAGTCATCAAAATGAAACAAAATTTTACATGACTACTTTGATATAAGTAAATGATTAGAAAATCAACGAAAAAGGATAATTTATTTCAGAGAAAAAGAACAGAGGAGTTAATTCCCCGTTGGACCCCCTCTAGCACGAATGCACGATACGATACGATCGGGCAATGATGTATACAAATTCTGTATGATGTCTTGAGACATTTCGTTCCGTATTTGCTGCAACCTTGCCTCTAGTTCGTTCAAACTCGTAGGATGCCCAATTCGCCGTCCCAAATGATCCCAGATTAGCTCGATTGGAGACAAATCTGGGGATCGGGCAGGCCAAGGAAGGCTAGTAACAGTACGGAGACAGTCTTGTGACACCCTTGCCGTATGAGGCAGAACATTATCTTGTTGAAAAATGGCTCCTGGGAGCCGTTGCATGAGTGGCAACACATGTGCCTGCAGGATTTCATGGACATACCGCTGGGCTATAGTGTATATATATA